GATTGCAATAAACATTCCAGTGTGCGTGGGCGCGCACACATATGTAGATAACACTTGTACGTATAGTTTCCGCGCGTACCATTCTTAAAACCCGCAAAGACAATTCACGCTCCGCCCACTCACTTCAACCACGATGGTCTGACTTAATTGTTGTTAACTTTATTTAAATTTCTTTCTACCCGACAGCGAAAATTATAAAAAAAAATTGTCGAGCAAAATTTTACATTACCAAATTATTACTGGTTATGAAAAAATAACCACGTGATTGATAAAATGAAAAAAAAGTAGCCTGAGATTCGAACCGGTAAACTTACATATTACGGCAAACATACTAGAATACTGCGCCAAACTAGTATATATTGTGACAAGGCAAAATTTGATATTAGTTATTACGTATCTGTCATATTCGGCGTGACAAACTTTTATAATATATTTAAGCGTTATGACAGGAGAAGAAAAATATTGGGTTGCCCAGTAAGTTCGTGCCGCTTTATAAGGAAAATTGAAACCCTGTCCTCTTAAATTTTTGGAAATGGTTTTAAATTATATTGGTACGACTCTATACCTAAAACGTCTTTTATTTTTGGCTAAAATGTTAAAAATTAGTTTTTATCTCAACCAATGAAATGAAATTATTCACAATATAGAAATTTTTGTGACGTTTGATAATAGTGGAAATCCGAAAATGAATCCACTTCAGCTGCAGTCTATTATAAGCTTTATATCGAAAATCAGAACGAACTTTCCGGACAACCTATAATGTTAATACAAAGTGTCAAATGAATATAACAGAAGGAGTTTATTCCAAATTGTATCACAAGTATATAGAGATAGAGTTCAATTTTGTCAAATGTACCGATATTTTTGCGCACCTTGACTGCTTCGTTACTTATGACGCTGTGGCTGCTACGATATTTATGAGCATCTTGCATGTACTCATATATTTGACGCTGTGTATGTACCGATGTATTTGAGCAGGGTGAATGTCTCTATTATTTTGAGGACTTTTGTTGTACCGATATAATTGATTACTTTTGATGTACCTATATATTTGCATATCTTGTCTGTGACGATCTATATGACGCTGACTGTACATATATCCACCACTGGACTGGTCACAGCCTGGGATTGCAACAATAACAGTCATAATCTCCCTGGTCCTTTTGTTAGTGTTACATGCAGTGTGCGTGTTGTTGACATACGGGAGAGATGTTCTAGGTCGTCGATTGCTAAGAGATAACAAATATCCCATAACCGGTGGTACCTACTGAGACTTTAAGGTCCCTTAAGATCTTCAATGGACGGAGAGAAATAAGAAAGAAATCAAACTACATATGCAACAATTTTAGAGGACGTCTACATAGATCTTTCGATGACCCCGAAGAATTTGGAAATGTTTTTCTTTGAATGAATGAATGAATGAATATTTATTTATTGCCACAAACAAGGAAAAGAAAAACTACAAAAATAAAAAAAAAGTTAAATTAAATAAATTGAGGATGTGGCAAAAAAAAGGTGGCCAGCTCAGCTGGTGCAGGAGGGAGGTCTTGACCAATCCTGCGCTGATTTTCAGCTGGCCCCTTTGTTTTCACACCATTTGCACAGCACGAGGTAGGGTAAGCAGAAATAAAAACAGATACAACGAAAAAAAAAAAAAAAAAGCAAAAAACGACAATTAAACATTAAAATTTTGATTGATTTTTTAGATACGAAATAACAATTTTAACTATAAGCATATAAAATGTGAGCTACAAATTAGTGATTAAGAGGAATACAAAAAAAATAAACAAAATAAATAAAAAAGGTTCAATAGGTAAAAAAAGGAAATATGGTAAGGTTTATAGTTTACATGCATGACAAACTGTTTTTTTGATAAATTAAGGCTTATATTTACGATATTAATCAAATTTGTTTTGGTTTTGATGTTTATCTAAACCGCACTGTTAGGTTATGTTAGGTTAGAAAAATTATGTACTTTGACTAATAAAACATCCGTGTACGATTGTTATATAAACCTCTGTGATATATAATTATTAATTTAATAAAATAAATGTTTTATAAACTTTTTTTTAATTGAAGTATTACAAAGAGTTACAAATAACGAAAACCTTGGTTTTGACAAACGATAAAGGACTACCTCCAAAAATGGACTTTGACGCTTGTAGCTTGCCGCCAATGATATGATTATAATTCACTAAATTAAAATTGGCATACAACATCAGTACCAATAACAATAATTTTTGTCAATAATCAAAATTATGATAAAATTAAACAGTTTTTATTTTATCAAACCTTATGATTAACTGTTTTTCAACGATTATTATTTAATACAATTCCCTGTATCATATCACACACGCCCTTTCGTAACGAAACCAACGCGATTTATTTTGGCACTGTAATCGATGTGAGTCAAGCCGATAACATACGTGCGACTCCGCGTCCTATCTCATAGTAAAGATACCGTAGTAGTAATTGACAAGCTTGTGCTGTGTACAACAAAATGAGTGCTGCAAGGAGTTATTTCAAAGAAGAGGGCCAGCTGAGTATGCTCGGGTTGGAATGCTCGAAACCTTCGTGTTTCTATCTGAGCGCTTGGCAGAGAAACCGCTCGACAACACCGCTGCTCATTTGGCGCACGCTCCTGTTCCTAACGTCGTTCGGCATTCTGCTCAGTTCAATGGTAATGTACGGCCTCCAGGGAAAGTTTGGCTTCTGGTTCATCTATCTGACGCACTGGGGACTCACTCTCAATACAGTCGCGACGGCGATGTCAGCTGCTGTTTCAGCGCGATGTTACTTCTATGGACCAATCGGTGAGATACAGGAGTTTGTTAAATAAGGAAAATACATCGATAGTTAATAAATATTAAGGTATAATTCAATTTTATCAGGATGTTGAGAAGATCGATTTTGTCTAGGAACTGAGACGCCCGTCGCCGCCGGCCGTTTGAATTATCTGTTTATCTTTCGACCTAATTCGCGATCTTGTCGCTTAACAAGTCGATTCATCATATTTTTTATCATCATCGTAGCGTTTACTGAATGAATTACAGCAATAAGTAAAGCATAGTTGCACTAAATTAACTTATTAATACCCTGAAGAAAATAAAACGAGTATCGTATTATAGACAATTGAAAAAACATAATTACAATTTTTTTTTAACAGTGATTTTGCTATTTTCTTTTGGCAGGCGCTGAGTTTGCATTACCGTGGTATGTAAAAAGTTACTGGGTCTTCTATAACAGCGCAGTACCCATCGCCTTTCTTATAACGGTATTTTATTGGACCATACTATACGAAGGTAAGGTATGATATAGTATCCAAAAATAAACATCTTGTAAAATAAAATAGCAAAAAATCGAATACAAATTTGTACGAATCTCAACATTTCGGGCTAGTTGTTATCATAAATAGATATTACTCATAATTAGTTTCGTAAACCAACATAAATTACGTAGCTTATATTTGACTAAACTTGCAAAACCATTAACCTGTGAGTAAATCATGAATAAACTAACAACGATCATTAGCGACAAACATTTATCTTACCAAAATATATTGTACAAAACCAAAATATTTTAAATATTGATTATGCATGACCTCTAACTCTAACATGCAATTAATGAGAATTTAATGCCTTGTTTATCTCCATTACTCGTAATTACATTTAATGTTATACACATTATAGTAAGACTAACATCAATGGACGTCATACCAGAGTTGTGTAGTAAAAATAATGTATCGCCTTTAATTATATGGTATATAAACATTTCAAGAATCTTATCTTACTTCTTACTAATATTATAAATGCAAAAGTTTAGATGGTTGGATGGAGGTTTGTTTGAAGGTATCTCCAAAACGAGCTATAAAAAATAAATATATAGGACATAGCCTGGAAGAAGACATAGGCTACTAATTCAACAGACAGAGTCGCGGGCGACAGCCAGTATTGCATACGATACACTGCTGTGTTATTTGTTGTTTAAATTGTTTTGTATCTCTGACAATTGAGATCAACTAATAGTCTATGAGGTCAATTATTCTACGGAGAACTGTTTGAAATATTTCATTCGCTAAGTACACAAACAAAATTTACTGTTAAAATAAAAAGTTTACAATTTACGCTCGTGTATTTAATAACCAAACTGATACCATTGATCACTATAGTTCTTTACTAAATGTAGATTTTCAATGGAGATTTTAATTTATCTACATATTTACGATAGTAAGAAACATCCAATATCAAATTATTCATAATACATACGAAGGTATACAGCAAATCCGTTATTTTATTTTTCCATGTCTTCAAATTCAAGAACTAACCGTAGGCTTCTGGGACCGAAATCCCCGTTTAAAACGCAACGTTATCTCAGTTTTGCCAAAGATATTGATAGAGTTGACAATATGTTTCGTACATTGATTTAGGTCTCAGAAATCACTGGTTAGTCGTGTAAACTATTAACTATTTACTATTTTTGCAGCGGGTTTTGAAGAGGAGTTAAACCATGGTCTGGACGTGGCGGTCCATGGTTTGAATTCACTAGTGATGTTCCTCCTACTGGTATCGGCGTCCCATCCCTCAAGGCTATTTCATATGTACCAACCTGTAATCTTTGGGTTAACGTACGCAGTTTTTGGTGCTGTATATTATTTTGCTGGTGGTGTAGACGCGTAAGTAGTATATGTATCTTTAATTAAAAAAATAGTCTAAACGAAGATTAGGTGGAACAATTTTTCTTCCGCTTTTCTCTTCCTGTCTTATAGGAAAACGGGAAAAAGAGGGCGCTACCAATTTCCCTTTTGAAAGTTTAGGAGAGAAAATAAGAATATACAAAGGTCAAGTCTTTATTGCTTTTACTTAACATCGTAATTATTAATTAGTGTAAAGCAAAATTATAAGTATAGATCTAAAATAATTAATTTTAATACAGTCGATAACCATACAAATGTAATAGTTGCTATCACAATTCTCCCAATACACATATAGATATTTCATAATAATCGTCAAAACATTCAACACTCTCTAAGGAAGACTGGTATGAAGTATTATCATAATATAAAATTAAATTTATAAACATATTCCTCAAATACAGAACTAGAAATGTATAAACATCGTTCATGTTATAAAATTTAAAACAATCTACTAAAACCATTGCGTAAAGTTGAACTGGTTAAACGATAACATTTCACTGCGACTTGACTATCATACCTATGAGTTTACACTTTCAAAACATATGTATTAAAACATGTTATCATACCCAAGTTACCTCAATAAATTACAGTTCAATACACAATGTGCACATTTTTAACGATATCAATACCAGATATAGAAAAGTAATAAATGGATGAGGAAGTTAAACATATGTATAAGCATAGCGCTATTATTCAACTTATATAGTCTAGGTTAGTCATATCAAAGATATGGCCTGCGAGCCACTTCCGGCGCCAGGGCCGTGTCAATAAGGCGCAATGTGTCACAGAGGAAGAATCATGTTTTTAGAGCTTTCAGACTTCATTAGATTAATCTACAGATCTTTAAATACTCGTACTCTCAAGTCTACAGATGACCTAGACTCTAGGTCTTTGATAGGACATATGCTAACGCCTTATTTCTTCCAGAAATGGAAACACATGGATATACCCGGTGGTTAACTGGGCACAGCCGGGTTCAACAATGGCGATGGTGGCGATTACAGGATTGCTGCTCATAGTTCTGCATCTCGCGGTTGTGGGGCTGGCGTTAATACGTGATGCTATCGCCGCAAGAGTTATCAGACGCTCCGTTATCACGCACATAGAAGAAGGAATGCCATTACGAACTCCAACGAACCAGCAAACAATAACATAGGCAAGACATTCTAGCTTGTTTAGAACCAGCTTGTTAGTTTAGATCCATTTGATTCTGGTAAAGCATGTCACAATGGACTAGTTAGTATATTGATTTGATATTATTGCTACAAATCAAGTTATATTTAGGGTGAGTTTCCACTTTATTACAAAAATTTCTATTTAAAATAAAATAGAGATAACATAGGAAGTTACGACATTTATAATTTAGAGTTGAAGATTAAATGTACATATCCGTGTGGAAGACCTTTGCGAAGTATGATAGATTGCAGAATTAAGACTCAGCCGCTTTGCTGAATTGTTATAAAACATTGGTCTGCTTATAATAGGTCTTAACGGAAATAAAACGCATATCAGTGAGCGCCCTTGAGTTAGATGCATAAATCTTGAATGTTAATATTAGGATTATCGTGTATATTTTAATTTAAATGAATTATTTGTAAAGTATATGAGAGGAGTGAAATAAATTATACAATTTTTCTTGTCGTGTTTTTTTTTAAGTACTGACTAGACAAAAACAAATGAAATAAATCTTGTTTTTGTTTACAACTCGTGACTATCCTGTATTATGTAATTTACGTAAGTTTATGAAACTTTACTGTTTATTGATACATATTATTAATAGGAGACACTTATGTAAGCAATATTTTATAATGATTAGTATATTCTCCGCAAAAATTGACTGACAACTGTTAACATATAAAGGTATTGAAAACCTAGTGGAAAATCACACCTTTCGCATGGAAAATGCGAGATTTTTCCAATCCTTATATCTGCAAGAAACGGAGAAAATTCTACAGTATTATAGTGTGTCTTTCTTTGAAAAATAACAGCACTTATCTATCGAAGAACAGAGAATTTGTTATGAAGAGTATTAGACAAAGTTTAAAACTCTTCTTCTTTTTGTTCACAATTATTGCCATTTAATAGAAGAGATATAGATACTTCTTACTAATATTATAAATCGGAATGTTTGGATGGATGGATGTTTATTATAAGGTACCTCCAGAACTGCTCAATGGATCTTGACGAAATTTTCGAATGTAATCGTTAATTTGAACTGAAAATGTTGAACACAGCCTGGAACAACCCATAGGCTACAAAGTTATTCTTTAAGGGGTGACGGCGACAGCTATTATTTCCATAAAACCTTACAATAGTCTATGGCGCAATCTTTTTTCCTTAATTGTCCCATATGACAACGCTAAGAATAGAAATGTGTCAATAAGACAGACAGCTGATTGACTATGATATATTTCATAGGAAGAAATAATTGTTGTGAACTTGCAAGTTGTGCTTAAAACCATCGATTTGTAATAAATATGTACATCACTGACTGCATGTAGGTACTTCCTAAGCTAGTTATTTAGACAAAGGAATATCTTAAATACAAACAATGAGATTATCTCAATGTGAAACTAATTAAATATAATTACTCATGACTTACATATTGTAAGAACTGATATCCTGTTTTTCTTATACGTCAGCTTAATATTTTCTTCCATTCTCGACCGTCTAAGCCTATTGTGGGAAAGAAATACCATAGCGCTAGTAAATTTACATATGCACATATGTTAAATTGGGTTAATTTCTGGTCGGTAATTTTCTACAGGCTTTCCTGTGCTTCGGTCGGTTCGTGGTTTTATGGTAAACTAGCTGTCGCTCGCGACTCTGTCCGCGCGGTATTAAAAAAATTAATTCGTAGTCTATGTGTTCTTCCAGACTATGTTCTACGTCTCTGGCAAAATTCAGCGATATCCATGCAGACGTTCTAGGGATACCTTCAAACAAACATCCATACATTCATCTAAACATGTTTTAGCTGTTATCACATGGTACATGCCATGTTACAAAATCGATGCTCTATCTACCTATACAATTAATAAAATTGGAGTGTTTGTATGTAATATCGTTTTTTGTATAATGTATTTGCATTGCTTTTAAGGAAACACCGATTTTAAATATGTTTTACTTTCTGACTCCCCGTAAAGCCGGGATATATCTGGTAATCTCTTAAAGGGCTTGACTGATTTTTATGGGACTCTTGAAAGTAGCCTATGGGCGCAGGAGTAACTTAGACTATTTTATTTTTATTTTTATTCTAAGTTAACGTAGTCGCGGGCTGCAGCTAGTCTACAAATGTAAGTGGTGACGTATTTGATTGTGGCTGTGTTGACATTGAAGTATGAAAAGTGAGTTTTGTATTCGCCAAGCAACTGGTTAGTGGTTACATAAAAACTCCGGCACAGTTTACGCAAGTATGGCAGTGGCGGGCAAGAGTGCAAACCGACAGGCCGCGCCGCGCGCCGCGCCTACCTCTTACACTCACGAAATATACTTCGCAACTTAACTGCGCTCGATATTTTTTTTTAAATTTAGTTTTTCTCACCGACCAGAAATTAACAATAGATTTTATCACAGATTAACAATAGCACGGTATTATGCGAATTTATTGGATAAATGATAATGTTATTGGTTTATCGATAAAGATAATAATCTATCAAGCGCTGTCCGCATCTGTCACTTCTACGTGACGGTGGTTGTGAAACGGCTATCTCGTATGTTAGAGAGTAGAGAATAACAAGATATGGTGAAATAGGAGGTTAGATATAAGTCGTACAAGGAAGTGCGGTACCGTGAGGAAAATGGTGAAATGTTCTAGGAAGGGTTTTTCGCTGTCGGACCTATGGGTGTCATCGCACGATAAGTTAAGCGACTTCTACTTGTCGGCATGGCAGCGCGGAGAGTCACCCGTGCCGCTCTTGCTGGTGCGGCTCGCGCTGGCGGCGGTGGCCAGCGGCATCCTTATATGGTCGCTGGTGGCCGGAGCGGGCCCTTACTGGCTCATCTACCTCACCAATTGGGGCCTACTTCTCGTCACCATGATGACGCTCAGCGGTCTTCTCGTCTCTTGTATGTCACTTTGCAGACCACTTACCGGTGAGTGTATTTGACTTTTGAAAATTATAAATTTTTCACCGTCCTAATTCATACTACAACATTTGTGCACCCTAACTTTGTGTAACTTTGGGTAAGAAATATGTGGTTACATACCCACACACGCATTACCCATACTTACCTTTAAAAATAATTTGCACACAAATATGTTTTAACGTAAACACGTGAAAAAACACTTGAAATAAGTTTCAAAATTCTATAGCAATATGTAACTACTATTTAATTGTAAAGATTCCATTTAAACCCATTTTCAATTTTCAATTGTTGAGTGTTTTCAGATCACAAAACTATACGACTAATATAGAATACATAAATACTAAGTAACTACTATAAAAAAACAAGCAAGTCACGAAATCACTGTCAATGTTCGAAACACATTAAATTATCAACAATATACACATTTATTTAATATCAAGAAGGTGACAAATTTTGGCTAAGTATCACGCTATTTGACAGTAGTTAGGTTACAACATTTGGCAAGCCCAAAGGGACACCCAGACACCATATCGTATAATTTTTCTTATCACGGATCTAAAATTTATGAATCACCAGCAAACTGAGACTGCGTTCCACTTTCAATATACGTAAGACTGTCCTGGGATTTCCATCCAGCATGTAATTACTGTCATTTTAATGTAATAAAGGTATTAAAAATTTCCTTGTATACCGCGATAGATATTTTGGGCACTAATATTAGGCCTACCCTAGCTAAGTAAAAATTACACTACGGTTCGTATGTTGTTAAGTTTATACTAAAATTAATATGTTATTAATTTATGAAAAAATAATATACATCTTAGATATACTCTTTCCTAACAGCCTTATAAAAATCATAAACATAATTCCATTTCAGTTCTACCATGTTATTGCTTCGTTATCACGACAAACCTGACGTGGTTAATCTACTTCGTTCATTTGTTTACAAACTTGGTCACACTCAAGTTGAGTTAAAACAAAGTTAAAACGGAAGTGAGTGAATAAATATCGATAACTAACCGGAAACGATGTTACTTAGTCTTGAGCTAAATTATTGAGTGTCGAACTGAATTGCTCTTGGCACAAGTTGAATCACAAAGTTGTAGCTGGCCGCATATAATTATGACACAGTACAGTACATAAAAAAATCGTTGAAGACATTGATAAGATTTTTAATTCAATGGAATAGTTTACAGAGAGCCCAGGTTTTCTTCTGATTGTCAACAAAATATTGACTTTTACTTAAGATTGAAATATGTATACAGATCTTGTAGACGACTCGTATGACGCTATCAATCATAGATTTTATCTTTAACTTATATAATTTGCGTAGCTTATCGATTACACATCGTCTGCTAAAACAGATAACACAATAACTCGGATTGATCTGTTACTTTTAAAACAACATAAACAGCCAATTCAAATAAACACAATTGCTATTCTAAAAAGTTAGTCTTTAATAATCTTTCTTGTTACTATAGCCCAGTTATGATGTAACTTTCCATCGCCAGTAGGTGGCGTAGTTGCAACATTAAGATCGTCAGTATTGCTTTATAGACAGGTGAACGTGTAACATCGCGGCGTGTTATGGCTGCCTCGACCTGCCCCACATGTCCCATATGCTTACATTATGACATAACACCACCGTTGACATATCCATCTAACATAACCAACAGTGACCTGATGATTTCAAAGCTTCCTAGTCTATCCATAAGTTCATTTTAGTTAGTGTGAAGTTTCGTAAATTTTTTTAGCCACTGATACTAGGTTGAATGTTACCCAATATTCATTATTTTTTTTGGAAAATCTGTTATGCTACAATTTTACCGATGACAGTAAGGACAAACAGCGCATATCATTCCAAGAATGTTCTTGAGACTTGATGAGTCTTAAAATTATCGACCTAAGACAACATTACTTTGTAATACGTGACCTACGAGGCTGAGCCAGTAAACGTTTGCCTTGATCTAACGGACACGGATTTGGTTTCTAGTGGCTTTACATACATCTTTGGGAACCATTTACCCAGTTGTTAAAATATAAAATCAGTCATAACAATCATTTTTCTTACTTATTTTATCTTACTAATATGATAGCATTATGTGAATGTTTGGATGGATGGATGGATGTTCGTAAGATATTTCCAGAACAGCTGCATGGATCTCACGCAAATTTTCATAGATGTAGAACATAGTGTGGAAGAACACGCAGACTAGTAATTTAGTTTTTTTTATTTCGCGCGAACGGAGTCGCGGACAGCTAATACATTTTAATATAATAAATTTTTAGATAGAAAATAAGTAAATAAATTATTATTATAATTATATCTAAAAGCTGCAGTTCAAATCTGTTTAATATTATTAATATTGGTATGTAATTACAGATGCAGTTGAGCTGCCATGGTACGTGAGCATGTACTGGCTGATGTACAACATCACAGTCAGTATTGCCATCATGATCACACTGCTCTACTGGATACTGCTCTTCGATCCTGGTCAGTATAAATATATTATTATTCGGTTTATTTTATTTTTTATCGTTATGGGTAAAGCAAGCAAACAACATAGTGTTGTTGGCAACAGATGCATTACTGATTACTCAAAAATCAAAAGTTATGGATGGGTTGTGTTGTATAGGAATAAAAATAGAAAGTTAGATATAATAACAAAAGATCAAAAGATATTTTAAAATTATGCCTAGCATGTCTGTCTCGTATAATGTTTTAAGTACCTGGATGACCGAAATTATATTTAAGTACGAATTACTAATAAAATGATAAAATATGAATAATATTTTTCGATCTTACCGATAGAAAAAGTTAAGTTTATGTTTAAGTTGATTATCGATAAAACACGAATAAAATGACATTTTCTAAAAATGATTCCTAGCTAGATCGATTTATTGCCCCCGGAACCCTCTATATACTAAATTTTATGAAAATCGTTGGAGCCGATTCCGAGATTCCAATTACATATATAAATTTACAAGAATTGCTCATTTAACGATATAAGATATAAGATGAAGGTTCAAATCTTGGATATATTTACTTTTCTATTTATGTAATTCCAACGTTGAAAGCAATATTTACGTATTCGATGTTGTAATGTATATTCACTGAGAAGACATTTCCTTACTCATTACACTAATCATTTCACCTTAACCTCAAATGGCAGCAACAGGTTAATACGTAAACGTCGCAACACCAAAGAGGTCGTTAATTAATCACTATAAGTTTTTTAGAAACTTTTATCCCCTGTCCTATGAAGGTTTTACCGAAAATATATGAATTGGGTCGATTGGTTTGCTTATCAAAATGTAGGCTTTACCCTAGCAACTTTAATCCTTTATGTGTTACATACGTAGTTAACGTAATATTGATAAGACTGAAATGTCGTGGGTGCTGAAAGACTCGTGCTAATTTGTTTAATTACTACAGTTTTTACTTTTTACCTTTATAAACTTAGATTTTCAATTTTTTTATTAGGTACAGGAATATATGTGTTTTAAAAAGAAAGACATCTATTTTAATGTTTCCCTTAAAGGTTTAGTACAAAGTATTACATGGTTTATTTTCTTTTGTTCTGATTTGAAAGGAGATGATATGACCAGAATGACTCAACAATTATGCCACACGTTAAGTACATAACTATCCAATTTATTGTTATCTACTCAAATGAGATCCCAAATTATTCCTGATAACTGTTGTAATCCTTTATACGTTATCAAACTACTAGCTTAAATACTTACGTTTCCGTACTACAAAGTCCATCCATTAATATTATTATGGCTGATAACAATGATATTTGCACAGGCATTTTTATTCGAATTTTACATATTTTTTGTCTAACGAGAAAAAAATTGTTATGGGTAATCTCCAAGGGCGTCGCCAGTCGATGATCAATGTCTTCGTTTTAACAAGCCGTTTTTGACTAATCTATTTAAGATTGTAGGGACCTTATTATTTAGAAGTAGATATCTTTTACATATTACGAGTGTCTAGGAGGGGGCTGCTGAAAGACCCATACCCACTCTTGGCGACTCTCATGGCAACCGACAAACTTGCATATATCTAGTATAAATGTTTATAAAAAAACTAGAAAGGTGTACTAGCAATGTGTTAAATCAAAGTCCATAACCTCTGCCTACTGTACCGGAGTGGATTAAGTTTTTAAAAGAAGAAAATTATATTTTTGTATGTGAAAACAAATAGAAAATCATGGACAATGGATCTAAGAGCATCGTGGGACGGATCACGAAGCTACTTTATCCTTGTTTGTTCCTTTATGTTTTCTTTTTCCATAGGCTAGGTCGAAGCCCCTAGCCTCATTCATCGCTAGATTAAACGCGCTCCCTCGTGTTTGCGGGCCGGGCTATCATAAAGCACATGTATTAGAATTCTTTGATGTAAAATAGCAAAGTACAAAGTGAGGCGCGACTGTCTTGTTGTATTTATTTTTATATTGCGAGTCGCGCGATGCCAGCGCCCCCGGCATTGTTGGATGAGGCAATCGTCAACTGCGACCTAAATTATGTGTTTCGCAGTAAAGTTCATTGTGAATATCGTAATTAAGATGACATTTTCAAAATGTTTTTTTATAAAAGTTAAATGTTATATGATTCTACCGTGATGTGTAGTATTTCTTGTTACTACTATAGGTAAATGGAATAAGCTAAGACAGCCCTAAGCAAGATAAACCCTTTCTTCACAATGTTACAAATCAGAGGTTTTTACTATAATATAATAATATAACCACGCAATCACACAATATCTAATAAAATGTTGGTAAAAGCTGACAGGGTAAACTTGATGACATATATCTTATTATTTTTTATGTCTGTGTAAAGTATCAGAGGTAGGGGTTGCTGTAGTTTTAATATGTCTCTTTAACTGCAGAGGAGACCAATGACGGGAGCTCACAAGGTGACATCTGGCTGGACGTGGCAACACACGGCATCAACTCGTGCATAACACTGGTGGAAGTGTTGGCAGCACGCACACCCGCGCGGCTGTTACACGTCTACCAACCGCTGGGAGTTGGTCTGTGGTATGCAGCGTTTTCCGCCGTCTACTACGCGGCTGGCGGGACCGACGGGTGGGTATACAACAAAGATAAAACGATCCATAACTTTCAAATTTTTCATACCCGTCAACTACAGAGTCGGCTAGACTTAATTTCTATGTTTAATGTTGTTTTAAATTATATTGTTTTTCTCTTTTTCAGCAATGGCTACCCCTTCATATATGAGATATTAGATTGGCGGCAGGGCGCTCGTGCTGGGACCGTAGTGGCAGCATCCACCGCTTGTTTAATAGTCATCTACGTTCTAGTTTGGGGCACAACTTTGTGCAGAGAGAAACTCTCCCTAGCAACGATACGTACCACCAGCCATACCTTGCCGTTAACTCCGCCCGATCCTCACACGCAAATTGTATGATTATTATCCGACGAAATGTCATATTTTAACACAGATTATATTGTGTAATTGTGCAATGTAAACCTGGATTGAAAATGACGTGACACTTGTATACGAACACTATTGCTATCTTTTTATATTCAAATAGAATGAGAGAGATGGCATTATTTTTGAAATACAGGTGCTACGACAATGGAGATTCATCGTTATATTGATATGTTGTACTTAATTTGTGACTGGCTATAAATTATGACTTTTGTGATAGGCTAAAATATTTATTAGCCTTTGTGATGGGCCATGAATGTCAATTGAAGTAATATACACTTTTCATATTAGATTTCTTTAGAAAAGGCATTTGAATTATTTTAATCGATTTTCACCGTATATATATCGAACCTTTTTCGCAAACATCGAATTACAATATTAGTAAACTCCACTAACTACATTTTGTATGCAGCTTTTTGTAAAAATTAAAGCCAATTGAATATGAAACAAACATCAGTATTGAAAGTCATAAAAATCTATATTTAAAATAAAACTTGAGCTCTCTGAATATTTAAAACTTTAATATCGAAATATCTTACATTAAAAAAAATGTTTAATGATTTTCAAATGTATTCTTGTTTTCTATCTTAAATATTTTATTGAATGTAATATTTAAATCCGTGTATAACTTTAGACTTAACAAATCGCCAAATTTACAATAAGTATTAGTTTTAGGTTTTGAGGCATTCTTGTGTAAAATTGAGGCTCGATAGTTTTTGTGTAAAAAGAACAGTTTATATATGAGACGAATTAGATACGACTATATTTTTTTCACTATAAATAACTTAGTGTTGCCATTTAAACTATTGAATACTTTAGAAAACTGCCAGAATATTGCCATATCTTACCCGTACAAATTGTTACGCTAAAATCTAAAAACGCATAAAATACCTTCTCTAAATAAGCTTACATTAAAAATATATAAAAAAAAAGTGTTTAGCAAACTACTGTCAATTTTTTAAAGTCAAACTTAAATGGCAATACTTATCAACGTCATGTAATGGTTAATTAGTCTCCGAGTGTGCATTAGTATGAATTATATGAAAAATTATATTTTATTTTGCTTCCGTTATCGCAAAATATGTTCTTCCTTATTTAATTCACATATGTGTTTTATATAATATACTTGGAGATGACCTTTCTCCAATTTCCATACAATTTCAGGAAATTGTATTAATTATGAAAGGTGTTTTTAGTATTAGGTACTGAGAACTTTTGTATACTATATGTATACTTTAAGTGTCTTAATTTTTATATAAAAAATAAATAAGTATTTGCTTTGTTTTATTTTTTTATCAAAAGAGACCATAAAGAACAGTGTACATGGGTTTTTGTATTAAAATACTTGTAAGGGGACATACCCATACTACGTGACCTATTTTTGGTTTTCTCGACCCCTCCCCCTCCGACTCGGTGACCACTCGTAGTACATGCCAAGACCCCCTCCCCCATTAGTTTTTACGTAGCAATTCATTATTATGATTTTTAATCATTTCAAAGGTAAACATTGAAAAAGAAATAATTTGGCTCATACTCTTCTTTATAGCATAAGACTGCATGCATTCTTAAATTACTAGTGAATTATGTATTATGAAAAAAAAAACAAGTAACGACTACGTGACTAAAATCTAAGACCTCCCCCCCCACCCCTGTGACTGACCGTAGTATTTTAAAGACTCCGCTCTCCCCCTAAACGGGACACAGTATGGGTACGTTCCCTAATCTACTCTAATTGAGGCTCAATCGTCTATAATTTGGAGAGAAATAAACAGTTCGATAATTTAACTTCATAATTTAGGAGGATTTATTATATTTTAAAATAAAAAAAACAATCATAATTTTATCTAAAACATTTATTTCTATATAGCGAAATCTGCAATTAAACACAAAGCAACCAAGTACAATACAAATTAATAACAAAACTAAATATGATATGTGATTAATTAAAGTTAAGTGACTTAGCGCGTGTGTACTGTGCGGACCTGACCTTATATACCAAATTATATAAACAAAACATTAGTATAGAAACAACTTAAATAAAGCTTATGTTTTAATATAATTTTGATATGACGTCAGCACTGTTTATTTGCAAAGTTAAACATAACTAGTTGTTATAAATTTACTAATATAAATATCAGAAGCATTTAGCATAGTTAGGTAAAAAAAAATATTAAAAAAATCGGTTACATATTTCAATGTTTCCAAACAAACTTCCAAAATAATTACAAAAAAACAAACAGTCAAAATCCTTTCGCTGTCAAAATCAGTTTACGATAAAGATGCAAATAAGCAGTGCCAACATTCAATAATAATTTTTAACAAAACATACCATTTTGGACAACAGTCTAAAAAAATAAGGCTAATCTTATCATAAGAGTTGTATATCCAAAAATATATTTTATATACAATATACTTATAATCTAGATCGTAAAATGTTAGTCTTTTACAGGCGGTGCCTGGGCCCTGTATCCAGATACATTACTTCTGAATTAACATAACGCTTACTTCGAACGGCATCAAATCTAAATAACCTACAAACTATTGGCCTTCACTTTCCCCGTTCACTAAAACTGTTATATTGCAAATGTTTATAGTTAGGGATCACTGACCTCAGGACAGGCTATAAACAATGGTATTTTGTGCCAATTCGATTTTCTCCATGTTAGTACTGACAGTAGCAGATGGTACCGGTCATGTTGGTAGAGATAAAATTAGTCGACAGTAACTACAACTGGCGCTTTCAAATCGGAACGAAGCAAAAGTTTTAATATCCAAGTAGTGACCTATCCAACTATTTCTATAGAGATCATAGATGATCTGTATTGTCTATGGATCTTTTTTTTTAAACATCGTTAATAAATTACGATATTTAAAACCTCTATTTCAAAATTTGAACAAGTTGAAGTACAAACTGGATATCATTAAACTAAGCAATCAACTACAAAATGTCACATTCACTATACTAATACATAATCTAGAGTTATACAAAAAACAAGAACTAGTTCACATTAATTGAATTAAACATTGAATCATCTAATGTGCGTACTTAAGTACACGTTTTATCTTTTAAAGATATTATAATTATTGACATATAATCCCTGACAAACAAACAAAAAGTTACTCAATAGTCTAGACTTTTCAATAAACTCAAGTACTAAGTATTTAACGAAGCAACCACTTTCGATAATGTCAAAGTCTCAATATAGTGTTGACAGCTGACACGTTCTTTCTCTGTCTTACGCGTTTCTTGAGTATACATCTCTCTCATTTACTCTTTGTGAAATGCGTTCAATATTCCCGCGGCTAACATCGAATACTAAAATATTTGTGATGACTATTTTATATAAAAACACACAGAAACTATTTATGCTAAACTAAAATCTACTCCATACATACTCCATACATTTCATACTATACATAAGACGGTATCACAAACATTCAAACAGTACCAATAAATTTGACAAAATATGAAAGTATTTAGAGATCAGTTTATCCAATAATATTTTAGTTTAGAACAAAGTTTATGTTCATATTTACTAAAAAGTTTTCTTTGTTTCATTACAATTTATCTTAACTATAAGGTTACTTAAGAAAATAGGATAGAGTAATTCCGTTATTTTATAGTGTACCGTCAAGCGACCGTTACATTATTATCACAAACATTATAAACTGGACACGCAGTACAACAACTAACTGTATACAGAAAAGCACGAATACAAATTCTATTACACATTTCAGACTTATAATAAATAATACAATCCAAAGTCAAAAAAATATAGTCCGATATGGATCTTATGGCAGTTTTTAACATGACAGAGGGGCGCCTACAAGTTTTAAATGTTACCAGTAAGCAAAACTTTCCTTACTTCTTCAGAAATTGGACAATTGTGAGCAATTGTGACTTATTCCCGTAGTATACTTATTTAAATTGAGACATCCACAAAATTGATGATTTACAGCTTTTGAATTATTCAAAAAAAAAAGGTATATTTCGATCTGCCATAATAATAGTCACATGGCAAATAAACGTACGTGTTTCATTTCAAGTTACACTTATTTGGCACTTTAAAACGATGAACATGGCAACATTAAACCGTGCAGCTGCCGCTCCCTCATTGGTCGAAACGCTGTCAAGATGACAGTTCACATAAATTCCGACTGCCGTAGGACCCTTGTGGAACTATATCCAACGATTCCAAAGCCTTTTATAATATGACAAGAACACATGATAGATTACTAATGTCAAAATAAATGAATAAATAGACAAAAAAAAATAATAATTTTGCTAAACACTTTAGAAATTTAGTTTGACGTTGGAAGACAATTTAGTATACAACTTAATTTTCTAAATGAAAAACTTTAACAATTTTATAATTTACGTTTCCGAAGACCTAAAAATGAGTTCCTAAAACATCAAGAAAATCTAAAAATTTAGGTATTGCACCAAAAGTTCGAAGTTTGATAAATTTTATTTATGCACAAGTCATGTACCTTGTAAATTTGTGCTAAACTCTTCCCTACAATATTATATCGTAGTTACGAACGACTAAACATGGAAACCACATAATAATGTAACCATTAAAAAATGGTGTTACTACGTCTTTGGATATTTATACATTGAATTTAACATTTCTACAAAAAAATAGTATAGTGATTATCAATAGAATTTTTTGTTTTGGGAGAAAATACAATTTCTCTAAGCGTTTCTATAAATTTTTGATATTAGCTTACATTCACGCATCGATCATTGTAGAACACTTAATGTATACATTTTGTGTTAAATATATTTATCAAGAACTTATTATTACTTAGAATTAAGAGATAACAATAAAAAAATAACAATTCGCTTTGAGCATTTGTCGTAAGGTTGGTTATTATGTAAGCTCCTCGCTGAGTAAAAACACTCGGAAAGATGACTCGTCCACGGCGTCTGTGTACAGCAACTCTTCCTGAATTACATTAAAAATAAAAATTCTCTCATATTTATCTATGCATACAATTCTCTATTCCAATTCACCCTTAACCATAGACAAACTACAGTTTACGCAATCCTTCGTTACATTCGATAGCATAAATTTAGAAAACATGGGCATTTCAAATTGATTCGCAATTGAAAACTATTGAACGATAATCATAAAAGTATTTGAACGAAGTTTTTGCATTATGTTAGATATATACCAACCTGCATGAGATCAATGGTGGGGTGAGAGTCCAGCAGGCCGAGGTCGTCGCCCAGCGCGCCGCCGCCCCCAGCGCCCACGCCCTCGCCCACGCCCACACCCACGCCTACGCCCATTCCTCCCCTGAAAATGATTACTTCAAGTTTACCTTACTTGTTAAATATCTTATATTAATTCAACACTAAAGCTCTACATTAACCATCAAAAAACTCGCAAGTAAGACTTTTTAACTAATTGTGCGGCTAAATAAGGATTTAAAAAGAAGTATTTTTCTACATTAGTACTCACTGGCTATCCTCGTTGGTGAGTGCGTTGCCGTGCAGGAACAAGTCACTGCGTATTGTGTAGATGTTACTCTCCGCGCTCTCCGAATGCTCCACCTGACACATCACATTCTATCTATTTCCAACATATACGATATGCTACAGACCTACAAAGCTCACTAGCGCCCCTCGTTAACATCAAATGTGTCACAAGTTGCTCTTTGTTCTGTAACGGGCAATTTTTTTCTTTTATACTGTTTACTATGTCTAAATAGGTTTTATATATATTCTGACAGAACCAACCGCTATAACAACGCCTCTCACCGGTTCAGATATCCTTGTTTATTATTAACTATACGCTAGTATAACGACAACCTAATTTGTAAACATTTTAAACATCCATTGCTTTCTCATTCCTACGTCAGCTTCTTTTCTAAATTTAACCATTTTTTTCTATGCAAAAAAGTTATTTACCTGTACATCTTCGTCCAGGACATAAGCATCCTCACAGTGGTAGCCGCAAGGAGGGCGCGGCTGCAGCGGCCATGTGCAGTGCGTGCGCGCAGACTGACCCTCCCCTTCCCCTTCTCCAGCCACCAAGCTCTCCTCCCCCAGGATCTCCTCCCCCGCACTCTCCATACCCTCCGTTACAACTTCCATCTTTGTTAACCCCTCCTCCGAGCCTGTTACTTCTTCAAAATTAAGATCCCCACTAACTTCTATATTTGTAACACTTTCGTATACTGGTTCATTCTTTAACATATTTACCTGTAATAAAACGTACGAATTACATGTTAATTATCGTATTAATTTTATAAACAAAGAAGCCAGTTCTGTGTTCTCACGATTAGGGTTGTGGCAGAGTCTGTCAGATGACGTAAGATAACGATTGTAATGTTTTCAAGTCAGACAAATATTATTAGACTTACTGTAAAGATGTTCTCAGGTGGCATTTCTAGGAGCACGGATTCTGCGGTAGTATTTGAAGAGTTAGTTTCTTCCTTTTTATGAACTTTCTTCATGTGCGTGTACAGGGAGCTCATGTTGTTGAAACTTTGTTGGCATCCTGACAAATTAAGAAATCAATTTATATATAAAAAATTAATACTTTCGATATATTGCAATAATAAGCTTAGTAATAAGTGTGTTTCTAGTACTAAATATTTTTGAATTCACTTGTAAGCACATTTTAAGTTCCGGTTCGAAGGACCATAACATGTATGGATCTTTTTATGTCTGCGACTCAGAAGATAATACGAGGCGCTGCCGAAACAATGTTGTCTATGTTGTAGAATGGTGTAGCAGGGGCTGAAGAGATGTGGAAGACTTGTGCGCAGCGCGCAGACTGGGAGCCACTAAGATATTTGAAAAGAGGTATACAAGCATGGAATATCACGTGATTTAACTGACCGTGGTGCGTGCAGGCGTGCGGGTGTCGTGCGAGGGGCGGCTGGTGACGGGCGTGGTGCTCGCGCAGGTGCTCGCGGCGCAGGAAGGCGCGCCCGCACGCCGAGCACGCATGCCGCCGCTCGCCCGTGTGCCGACGCGCGTGCCGCACCAATTTGCTCGCCGTGCGGAACGACCATCCGCAATTCTGGAATATGTCAACTTCAACATGTATTATATCATATCATATCGCGTTTCTATGATACTGAACTTTCATGCATATTTTTTAAGCAAACTAGCCATCCGTGCAAAAATAAAAAATAACATTTAATTAGTAGTCTATGTAATCTTCCAGACTATGTTCAATATCAAAGTCAAATTTCAGCAAGATCCATGCAGCCGTTCTGGAGATACTTTCTAACAAACAAACAGCTATCTAAACATCCAAACATTCGCATTTATAATATTAGTAAGAAGTAAGATTTTAAAAGAGGCTTTGACTATGTTAGAAAACAAATAATATAGTATAGTAGACTAACCGGAAATTTGCAGGGGTACGGTTTGTCGCCGGTGTGCGCGCGCGTGTGCTCGCGCAGACGGCAGGGCTGGCGGAAGACGCGGCCGCAGCCGGGCCACGCGCATACCAGCGCGCCGCGCCGCGCGCGCCCGTGCGCCTGCCGGTGCGCCCGCAGCGCGCACGCCCAGAAGAAACGCCGCCCGCACTCCGAACAGCTAACAAACAAACCAACACCCTTCATTATTTCATATTTTATTAATTAAACATCTTTGATATTAAACAAACATTTGAGTTTTTGATGCTATTACTACATCAAGAGATTAACAAGAAATTAGGATTATAAAAAAATAACTAAGAAAATATATCTCAAACAAATACATACATATAGTTTGCTTGTTCCAATGTGTGGTTCTCGTTAAGATGTTTTAACACATCTTCTCTGGATGTGAACATTTGTCCACAAGGCTCCTCCACACCTGATCGGATAATCTTGATTGGACATTCAACATTGGTCTGTCTCGGTGGCCTTGTACTGCCAATTTTATGACTATTTTGGTGCTTTTTCAACTTTTGCTTATTCGAGAATTCCTTATCACAATCAGCAACTTCACACTAAAATAGATTTTATATTAGTATATAAATATAATTACATATCTATCTAAAAATGACAAAAAAACTTTAGTAGCATACTTAAAAATTAAATAAAAAAATAAAAGCATTCTGCAGATAAACATTTTTACCATTTTACACCTTTCACCATGTAATATAAGAAACTATTAGAAACTTAAATAGTAAATAATATTTAATTTAATTACCTTAAACTTGGCTTTAGTTTTATTGAGATCAAATGTACTATTAAGTACATTAGTCATGATTGGTACCACTTCACCTTGAAGAGTTATTATATTATTTCTCTGGACAGAAGAAACTACAGACAAAGGTACCATTGTAGGTGTTACATCTAATTTTTGTTCTATAAATAAGTTGTTCTTTTGAGATCCATCATCTAGAATTGAAAGTATATATTTTTATCAACTTTTAATGACAAAGAATCTCAAGTTCACCATTGTGTATATCAATTATTAAGGCATTGTCATATTTTGAAAGTCTTTGGAACTATTGTAAATAAAAAAATTACTACATAAACTATTTTTTGCTTTATATCTTAAATATGGTATTTAAATACTTACAATGTTCTTTTATTTCCGTTGGTGAATTTTGTACAAGATCCAAACACCATTTAGTATTATCATACTTATCAACTGATTCAATTTGTAATTCAGTATTCCCAAATCTAATGCCATTCTGTAACATCCACAAAATAAATATCCAAAAAATGAGTTTTTAATAATTTACTTGTATTCAATTCAATTTAAATAATGAATCATAAATTGTGACCTGTTTTGTTGCTCCTCCTACTAAGAATGAATCCACATTGACACCAGTCTGGACTAAATTGCCTTCATTATCTGAACAAACAAATACAGCTTATTACAAAAATATGTATATTATAAATTGATTTTTCATATTTTACCCCTACTGCGAAGGCCCTACAACTAATACAAATCTGTTTGTTTCAAACAGTCAAGTTTAATGTACAAATCACAATGGAATAGGATAATAAAATCCTATATACACACACAATAATCCCTACTACTCGGATGCTTACTTATCTTTCGTGAATATTGAGTAAAATAATATATACATTGTATAACATAGTAAAATAACAAAAAAATCAGAAGACTTACTATTCTCCTGTGTTGTTATGATAGTAAATGTAATGTCATTGGCGTTTTCTTTTTTTACCACTGCATTCGAGGATTTGTCCTCCGAAATTAACGAAGCTGAGATCAATTTCTGTGTTGACTTGTTAATTAGTTGATTTGGCTTCTCCCTATGTTTAATTACTATTTGTTTTGCTACTCTATTCTGACCTTCGTGTGAATTAAATGATTTGTCTACTGAAGAGGGGCTGACTAGAGATTTACCATCTGGAGATTCAAAACTTTCTGAAGTTGCTTGCGGCCGCGACAAGGGCTTTGTCTTTCTCCGTAGAATATTTGGCTTTTGAAATTTTTTCTTAACATTCTTGTCTTGTGACACAAACATATTTCTGACTAATTCATTCTAAAGGTGTGATAAAAATAGTGTAGTTAAAAAGTTAACACTGATTACAAAAAAATAAAATGATTGCTGGTTTCCACTACGGCATTGTGAACAACGATTATATATTACCGATAGAACACAAACATCTCTATTCGTTTTTATTAACAAAAGTTAAATTTATAAGAATAGCATTTTAGAGTTTACGTCTTAACAATAGACGACAAAACGTACAACTTTAACTTTACGCCGCCAAATCATTACAAGAATTTGTATTCATTGGGCTCACGAAAATGTTTTTGATACTATATCAATTTCGATAATATTAGGCTTACACATTTTATTTTCACAAGTTAGTTTTGTAATATGAGAATGAGAATATGTAAAATTTGCAACAATTTAGCTGGTTTACGAAGCACAGAGTATATAAGGTAAGCATTAAGCAACATTGAGTAAGCAGGTTAAATAAAGAAGCAGTGCCGTGAAAGAATGGTTTTTTAGTATCGACTAATAACAGGGATTTATTTTGCAACAGTAAAAAACTACATAATAGAGATATAACAAGCTGTAACTTGTATAAATACTACTGATAAACCCAAAAGGATATCCCCGTTGAACGTAGGCAAAACAAAAACATTATGGCATTATGGTGTCGCAAGGTCCTTATCCTTTTTGTTGTACTCCGTACTCTATGCTGTTTGAGTGGCAACGCGCGAAGTCTTAAAATGAAATGTGAAATCGTATCGTAATTAGAGGTTATGTAGTTTTTAAGTTTTATTTTTTTTTCTATAACTACAAAAATTACGTAATAATGGATTGGAATGAAATTTTATCAGATGTAGAAGACATTAATGATCCTACTCTTTATGAAAAAGTACTTATTGCACTTGATGATATTTACTGTGAAGATGAAGACTTTATGCAGGTATTTTTTTCCTTAAATGTTTCGATTAAATAAGTTAATAAACAATTATATTTCAATACAATTTCATTTTTTTAAATCCAATTGATAATTTTACTTTTTTACGAATGTTTGACAAACATTTAAAGAAAAAAAACACGTTTACTTTTGGAAAATTATACAATACTGCGTGTAATTTTCGAAATTAATACACATTCGTACTACCTAACCAATTTGTTTTTGGCCCTAATCTGGACAGTGTGTGCCAATTTGCGTTTTAAATTAACTTTAATGTTATACTTAACAAATCCCTGATTGTTTTAATTATGATCTTTCCAGTTGTTAATAAGTAAACTCGATACTATGCATGTGACATGGGACCAGCCATGGTATCAAACTTCCCTTTGTCTTACACGATGCACAGTTACAAACTATGAAGATAATGAAAAGCTAGAGAAATTTCGAACAACACATTTTACAAACCAAGAATGTGAACAAATAAAAGAGAACTGGGCTAATTTTATTACGGTAAATTTTACCATTTTCATATTGTGTAATGTTCATATTTCATTATATTTTTAGGGGGAATAAATGAGTAAAAAGGTTGTGTAATGCTGGTTGGTTATGACATAAGAAAACTTAATAATTTAAATTTGGTATGGAAGAATTGGTGATATTGAAGAGATCTTAGTATGTCTAATTTAATCTGCCAATGAATTCAATATCAGACTCACATTTAGTAAAAATATTTCTTAATAACAGTCACTATTCAATTTAATTAATGAATTACCAAGAATACTTGGTCATCCTTTTTCCCTGCAATAATGGTGGTCGTAAAAGTACCAGTAGTAACCATGCTTTGTAAGTACTGAGGTCCAAAAATGTATTCTCAAGTATTTATTTTATTTTCTTGTATACATTTTAGGAATATGATGTACCTGACATGTTGCAATCATTTGCACGATGGAAAAATAGAGATTGTAAGAACCCTTCCTCTCCACATGAACAAGTTAGAAGATTTGTAACTGCTTATTTAGCCCAAGGCCTTGAAAGAAATATGCATCAAGTTTATCAGTATGTTGTTAAACACTTTGGTACTCCTGTTAAAGGAAATTATTCTGATGTTGAGAAAAAGTTGTTTAATATTTGTTTTTATTTTAATGAAAAGGATGCTGTTAAAAATCTATCACTACTTCTTGGAAGGAATCCAAGGGGTATTTACAAACAACTTCATCAAGTGCATGAGGGTAGGTGTATTATTTATCAAACATTATCAAGTTTTTACACAATTATTATTATATTAGATAACTTTCTATTTTCTCTATTACTGTTGGTTTCTTAGATCAAAATCTCTATTAAAACATATCATCATCGCCGTCATTATCATTTGCAAAACAGAGATGATATGTTTTATGAGAAGATTTTGGTTTCAGACAACCTATGGTTAGAGACTTCTTGTGGTGCCTACCTAATAGGTTCTCGGGAAGTTTATTGTATTTTATTCTCTTGGAAGGTTAGGGGTTACTAGTTAGTTTAGGGTGACTAGGCCATAGTCAATCACACTGGCGCAGTATGAGTTGGTTGACTACACACATATCTTTACATAAAAAATAAATAACATGAAATTGTAAAGTAAAATTATCTTTGCTGATTGATTGCTTGCTCATTGTCATCATCATACATTGATAATTAAGAAAAATTTATATATGATTTGTGCAATGTCTCAGGTAAACCAGAGAGGAAAAAGTTAAAATGGACCTTACCCTTGGCTACAAAATTTTTAAACTTACTCATGGAACACTCACAATGCTCTCTAGAAGAATTGAAATATAAAAAGTTTGATAAGTCAGTTTGGCTTAAACTGGAGAGTGATATGGACCAGCAATACCAGTATTTACAAAAATCCTGGTATAATGCATTACATGTACAAATTTTTGTAAAACAAGATGTGAAAATCAACAGGCTAAGAAAAAAGATCATTCGCATGTAAGTTACTAAATAATACTACTATGTATTTTTTTTTTTATATCACAAGGTGGCAAACGAGCGAGCGGCCACCTGAAATCGCTGAAATGTCAAAGTGACCGTTGCCCATAGACATACGCAATTGCATACGCGTTGCCTACCTTTTATCGACGGGGGAGATGATGCACAGAAAGAAAATATCTTCCCTTTCCAAGCATCCTCTCATCCGGAAAGTTCACTTCCACTTCCCATCCTTTCCTTATAAGAAAAGGGTGGGAAGGGAAAGAGGAGGAGAGAGGAGGGAGGAGAATTTTACAATGACAGAAACAAGCATGTTATATGTTAGTATAGTTGTATTCAGACATAATGTTAATGGTACAGAGTCTTTCCATATTTTTAGCTGACCTTAAGTTGCATGCTTTGAAGTGATCTCCCCTCGCATTTCTAAACACATTGTTATACCTTTTTGTTCTGTCTGTTCTGAACTATACTGAGTTTGGAAAATACAATATAATATAGGAAATCTTGGTCAAAATTAGCACCAAAATTTGAGCCAAATGCACATATGACACTTCTAAATGGCATGTTTCATCAAAGTTTAAAATTTGTTACAAGACGATTTACCACAAAAAAAGCCTCTGAAGTCTATCAACTTTCTTTACTTTTGACTCCAAACACACCGCCTAGAGGAATAAATCTATAGCAGAATGTTTAAAGATAAATTATTTGCATCCCTACACTACCATCTAATGATTTATGTTAAGTTATTAATACAAAGTCCATCTCTTTCAGATTGAGAGATAGCCCTTATGAAGTATGGAGGGATATTTGTTGGAAAGATTTAACTGAGCATTTTCCAGATGGTTTTACTCATACATTTCTGTATAAAAATTTCACATGTCTTTTGGTTGGAAAAACTGATTATTTGAAACAACCATTGCCGAAAGTCCTAGATTATATTTTACATAAAATAAATACTAGGAGAAAAAATAAAAGGTTAAGAACTTTAACATATGAAAATGGTAATCTTGAATTGATCAGTTATAAGAAGAATACCAAAAACCAAAGCAAAGAAGAATGATCAAATTATGGTTTTATTTCGTTATTTTTTAACTATTCTAAGATTCTGCAAATACGAGTTGTTCATTTGTAACACTAGTGCTCATTTCAAATAAGTTCGAAAATAGTATAGTAATTGACAAACTCAATAATTGTGATATTTTATGTTAATAATCTGTGGAAAAGAAAATCCCAAATGACTCTTTGATATGGTTTGCAAAGTTTTTGATGTCCAAAGATAAGCAGTCACATTTTGTGTCTCCTAACAGCTGTCTTGTTTGTGAACCTTTGAGTGTTAAAATTGAGAAGCAAGAAAAAAATATGCACAAAGTTGAGGTTACATTAAGTGAACTGTATTTGAAATAGAAGCTGCTCTCGAAGAAAAGAAGAATTTACTGAACTATGACTCTTTATCGTTCCCCGCAACTGGCATAGGGTCTTATACGCGTAAGGGGTTAACGTATCTGTCCGTAACACTGATAATATTAGTCACAGAGGAAAATTTACATACAGTGTTATCATAAGTAAAGAATGTAATTAATCATTTGTATCAAATGTCAAAAAATTATCATATACATGTTTTTATAAATTGTCATGTGAAATGTGTTTTTTTTTGCAAAATTTTAAACAAGGGAAAGCTATACTTTCTTAATTATTTGTATAATATGCAGGTTAAGCTAAAATAAAAATCCATTTCTATTTCCAAAAACCTTTTGTAATTAAACTTAGAATGTATTAGTTACAAACCAGAGTTATCAATGTTTCTATTTACATCTTTTTCAACCTATAACAACTACAGCGCTGACAAAATTATAGATATTATTTTACTAATATGTCATTATAAAAGCCAAAAAAAAAACTCTTAAGACACCGATTGATGACACTTACATTGTTTAAAAAAAAATAAAGAGAATTATACTTTTGTAATTGAAATTATTAAATACATGGTCAGTTTACTTTTCTCAACTAATTATTCAACTCGCCCGCTGCTAATCGTTCTAAGAAACCTTTGGAACATCTAACTGACTGTTGGTAACATTTTTCAAATCCTGCTGAATCACTATCCTGCAAAAATTATCAAAAGAGACTACTTGAAATTAAGTATCTTATAATGTAATAAGTCTATTTCATTTTTATTTTATAAGTAATATTTATTGAAGTACTAGCTGTCGACAGCTACTCCAACCGCGCGGAATTAAAAAAAAAAATTAATTAGTAGCCTATGTATTCATCCCGACTATTTTCTATATCTATACCAAATTTAATCTGTTTAGCTGTTCTTAAAATACCTTCACATATCCATCCATCCATCTAAAAATTAGCATTCATAATAATAAGAAGTAAGATATATTTTTTAGAATTTTGCAATATCATTAGTAACTTACATAATATGGGTCTCTGATGATTCTGTCACCTTGCGGGTCGAAATCTCCAAAGAGAAGCAATTTAGCTTTACTGCCTCTTGGTGCCCTTGTTTTTAGGTCCTTCATGTTGGTTTCATCCATTCCAAATATAAAATCATAATGGTTAAAATCTTCTGATATGATCTGCAAAGAACACATAATTGGTTTGCAAAAAATTTTCAAAAGTATTTATTTCAACATATTATACCTTCTTGCACATGGAACTTTTACAAGTGGTTTCTTTTTATTACAAGAAGTAGTCAAGGATCAGTTATTTCTTTCAAAAAGAGATGCAAATAAATGATTACCTGCCTAGCACAATTGTTGTATGGTACACCATGTTTTTTCATGGTGTCCAGGGCTCTCCAATCAGGTGAATTACCAACATGCCAGCCACCTATGGCTGCACTGTCAATTTCCCACTCGTCACCTAATCCCATATCATTGACAGTCTTTTGGAATACCCCTTCTGCTATTGGTGAGCGGCAAATATTTCCTAAAAATAAGAATAGTTTGTACTATTAAATTCAATGCAATGTGGTAGATATATAATTTTAGTATGTTACAGACAGAGTGAGACAAGAAATATGAAGAAAAATGACCTGCCGTAGCTAATGACTTAGCTATGAATTAGACTCGGCTTAGTATTACATAATGATAAGAGAAAATTCTAATAAGAAAAATCATTTATTAAAGAGATCAACTCTATGAGGGACTGTGTTATTTATCAATAGTGTCAGGAATGGTGGGATATTAAATAAAACATTTTATTAATGTGTTGGTTCTGAATAATTGTATTAAAGTCGTCAGGCGACTTGATCTTAGTAATTATGTAGCTACTGGCACCGCTCAAAGGGGCTTTTATCTTAACAGCCAATTAGTTTATATATATTGTGCTATTTTATTATATTTACAATTTAACTACTTACCGAGACATATAAATAATGCTTTCTTTTTTTCAGTAGACATTTTAAGATAAAAATTAGATCCGTCTAAAATAAATTTACTTTGAATTTACGGTAAACTTGTATTATCTAAACTTTTTACAAATGAAATGTGTTTGGGTCAACGTCAAAGTCACGCTCATGTCACCCAGTGTCAATTTCATAAAGACACAGACAGGTCTTGTCAAGTGTCACCTGTGATCAGTTGTCTTATAAATACCAGTGTAGGAATGTATGCAATAGGATGCAGCAGGTACCAGTACCAATACCGCTACATATAGTTTGGCAACTGGCAAAGAATATTTAACTCCTTCGCGGGAACTCCTTTGACATTTTTTCATCGAAGGCGAAGGTCTTATAAGTTGATTATTGAATCATATTCAATATTAAAATGTTATAATTCAAATAAAGTGTAAAAGTGTCGTTCAGAATTAAAAAAAAACCTAGGTTTGCTCAGTTAATTAGCATTTATGAAACGATTAGAATAATAGAGGATAAATTTACAATAAAATTAATATATATATTTTAGCAAACAATATAAAAACTTGTCAAAATATGGTCATTATACCAAAGTTAAGAAAAACCGACATTTTGCGTCCCTAGTTTGCGTCAAGCAAACAGAAACAAATCCAAGTGATAACATATCATCTTATCAATACTATTCCTATCAACGTCAAATCAAATGTATAATCATGGGTCAGCGAAGCAGTTAGTTTCTTTTAACTTTTCGCGGCTTTAACGTATTTATTATTTTATTGTTAATTTCTTATCCTATAAGGAAATAGGAAATATCCTAATAGGAAAATCTAGGTGTATTTCCCTAAGTATATCGAGCATGACACGTTGTTTTGTTTGTAATTTACAGTTTTAAAATCTAGAATACTTAAGTGACTTTAAAATGAGTTTTGTTAATAAAACGCTCAACAATATACGAACTAATCTGATTACTCAAGGCGACCCCTTTAGTTGCGATGGAAAAGATGTAATTATTTGCATAACAGGCAATCCTGGTTTTATTGAATTTTATACAGAATTTAGTGAAGAACTTCACAGAAGTACGGATTTACCAGTCTGTATAATCGGTAAGTTATTTTTATTAAGATTTTTTTTTAAATTAATACTTAATTTTTTACTATTTTGTACTTTAATGCCTGAGTTAAATATTTACAACCAATTTGATTTTTGGTTTGGTTCTTATGATTTTGTGTAAAATATGTAAGTAGCTAGTATTCACTTAGCATTCATAGCCTGACAAATACAGATTCTACCTCAAATTGACTTTAAAATCATATCAGAAAAATAATTTTTTATTTTTTTTCAGGTCATGCTGGCCATGAGCTACTGCCTGAAGAACAAAGTGAACTCAAAGGTCGAGAAGATATTTTTAATTTGAATGGTCAATTAAAACATAAATTAGACTTAATTGAAAATCATATAGATAAAAACAGCAGATTACATTTTATTGGGCACTCAATTGGATCTTGGTTTCTTATAGAGCTATTAGACAACAATGATGATTTGTATAAAAGAACTGCATCAGTTAATTTACTCTTCCCCACTATACAGAAGATGTCACAATCTGAAAAAGGGAAGTTTTTAAATGGATTTGTAAGAAGGATACATTCATTCCTGTTTATGTTCTCATTTTTATTGTATTTACCGCAAATATTTCTATCGTTTTTAGTATATATATATCTTAAGATAAACGGTTTGTCCCCAATTAATAAAAACAGAATTCTTAACATATTGAATCCAAAAATTTTAGAAAAAGTTTTATTCCTAGCATATGATGAGATGGACACGGTAACTGAATTAAATAAAAAAGGCTTAGAAAAGATTAAACATTTAACTAATATAATATACACTAAAAGTGATGGGTGGGCACCTTATGAATATATGAAAGATTTGATGGTATACCAACCAGATCTTCAAATGAAAGAAGTCAATGCTGATCATAGTTTTGTTTTAAAATCATCAGAGAGTATTGCTTCATTGGCCGCTGATTTTATTAAGACAAAAGTGTGTAATAATTAATATTTACATTTTTTTGTTTGAGACAACCATGGAACATCTTTTATAATAATTAAGTATCAATGTACTGATGGTATACAAAATAAAAACTAAATAAAATGTATAATGGATATGCATCTTTTTTTACTTGTTTATGTCTTATGAAGAAGTTTAAACCTAGAACCAGAATAGTGGATAACTATAGCTGCTGCAATAATATATAATGTTTATTTAATATAAATGCTTGTACAGCAAATATAATATATATTATTGTAGTCACTTAGTTACGAGAGGGACAACACATAAAATAGTAATGTTTTTATTTTATAGACATTAGTTTTCTAAGTGTTTCTTCACGTGGACACGGTAAGCGTAGTAAAGTTGTCACATTGGCGCTAAGCGTCATAATTTTACGTCGTGAGTAATTATTTTTTCATTTTCATATTTTTATGTATATAGATTATTTTAAGTGTGTAGCTATTTGACATGCCATAGCATATGAATAACCTATACTTTTTGAGAAATAAATAATGATTTAAATAAAAGAATAAAAAATCTTTTAAAAACAATTTAATTATAATTGAATATTACAAATGACCAAATGTTATTGTATATTTAATGTTAAGTTTGTAAAGCCGCTACACGCACAAAACTGTTTTATTATAAAATCTGAAATTTAACTTCGACGTTAACAATAAAATTACAACTACCTTACAAAATGTTAAGAGCGGTACTGCCTCGAGGGCGACCGCGTGTAGGACTGGCGGATGTACTGGTTACCGTTGCTTACCACTGCACAAATACATGTGCTAATCTAATGTTATCTCTGATTTCTCAATGAGAGTGAAGACAATTTGTTATAGAACACGTATTTCCGCAGTGGTAGCCTACGGCAATGTACCTTTCACTATTCAGATAATTTAATATACGACTAAAAAACGCCGATTTATATTCTAAGAGATTCGAACTATCATGTTCATTTTACCGTGCGATTTTACATGGCATTTACATGTTTTATAAAAATAAAATAGAACAGTATCATGCAAATAAGCCTAGCGTAATTTTTACTTATATTTTTAGATATTATAGCATAGAAAAATTTATAATAAAATGGTGTTATGTAGAGAATAAATTCCTCAACTGTCACATAACATTTGTTATATAGCTTTGAAGTTGATAAAAAAATTGTATTTTTTTTTACATCTGCCAATTGATAAAATGTTTCAACTTTTGAGTCAAATCTTTCTAAAATCCCAAGCTAAAGTGAACACGAAATAGTATGTATTTGAGAGTCGGTACATGTTTTTCTTTTTGACGGAACATATTTACAGAATGATATAAATTCTTTTATTATTTTAAGTATAATTAAAGTTTTATGTTGAAATTATTTTATTTTAAAGTATATGTTTTGTATGATTTTTTCGTTTTTAAAGATGAATTAACATTCAACAATATACAAATATAAGGTAAAAATTAATTTAAATTTAATATGCTACAAGTTAAAAGTTAAATATTGGATAATTTATCTCATTTGCGTGTCTTTGGATAAACTATGTACAGTGGTGACGATAAAACTTTCGTAAGTACATTTGGTATTTGGAAGCCCAGGTAGGGAATATGCAATAGTTTAAGACAAAAAATTATAAAATAAGACATTTATAGTAACAAATTCATACAAAAGTCAAACTTATACAGCAAGCTAACCTTCAAACGTTGCCAGTTCATAATTAAACTAGATGTAAGATTGGCGCAGTTATACAAACTTTTGATGCTTAAATTGGACCACATTTTGCTAAATAAAAAAATGATAATTCATACACACTTATATATTTATAATATAAACTATAATTTATTAATAAAGAATATGGATATAAAGATATGGAGATGCAAGCCGCGTGTGCAGCCTCCCGCCACAGCGAATGCGCGCTGCACGTTACATAATCTATAGTACAGTACAAGTGACGTTGCACCTGCATGCACTGCAATATGCAATTATTTCATTAACAATCGATAAAAATTATTCATTATTTTAGACTTTTTATAAGGACTGTGCGTAATTCATATGTATTCATAACGGTGTACAAAGTAACGTAGGAACTAGCGAAATATCTTTCACGTATTATACAAGAGTACGATCAATGTTAAGTATTTTACCTTCTATCAATTAGAATCTACTATAAAATGCGATCATCGACATATTACATTCACACATCGCACGACCTTATAAAGATAATTACAATACATAATTAATATAAAACCATCCACATCATCATACTCGACATGCGAAATTCATAATCGTCGAATATACAGTCGTAATTTGGAAATCTTAAACTAGGGATACAAAAATTCGTTCTAATAATACTCATACATGACACTCAAGAGACAGAATCAGCAGGTTGTCTCGAGCAGAGGGTCCGGCGGCTCGGCGCGCTCCGCCGCCATTGACGTCGTCGTCGTCGTCGAGCAGATCGCCTTCTGCGATGACGACTTATACAGCCGCCGAGGCCGCGCCTCGTCGTCCGAGTGCGCGCGCAGCACCGGCGGTACGCGCGGCGACAACGCGCCCGCGGTGGCGGCACGCGGCGAGCACGTGCAGCGCGCGCACTCGCACCCGCTGCGGCCGCACGCCTCGCACACCGCCGCCGCGCGCTGCAGTCGCCCGCGCCGCCGTGCACGCGTGCTCGGACTGCGCACCCACGGGTCTCCGCGCACGCGCCGCTCCGCGCTCTTCAGGTCCACCTCGCTCATCTTTCGCCACGGGTCGCCGAGCACGGGCCGCACCCGGAGCGTCGCGTCTGGCGAGGAGCGCTCGCTGCGCGCGACCGGCCGCAACGGGGAGGGCGTCGGGGAGAGCGCGAGAGAGCGCGCGGGCGAGGGCGCGGGGCAGGGCGAGGGCGCGCGGGAGGAGAGCGGTGAGGCGCGCGGGCGCTCTGAGTGCGAGCGCGCGCGCGGCGCCGGTTCGCGGCTGGCGGGCGTCACATCGCTGAGGGAGCGCAGGTGAATGCGACGGCGCACGCCGGCGGGCGAGTCGGTGTCGGTGACGCTGATGCTGATGTTGTGGGCGAGGCGGGGGCTGCGCGCGGCGGGCGCGGGCGGCGGCGGGGCCGCGAGCTCGGGGTCTGCACGTTTGTCGCAGTCGCGCGAGGTGTGCGGGCTCGCGGGACCGTTGGCGCTGGATTTGTTGGGGCCGGCCCGACTAGGCCCGGCCCCCGCTAGCTAGAGTAGTCTCTCTGTGGCCGAACTCGAAGTTCCGGAGCTCAATGTCGATGCGGGATTGTGTTCATCGCCTGCAAATAAAATGTTGATTAATGAATAACACAATGATGTGAAGACCAAAAAAAACTTTTAGAAATCTTTTGATAGAATTTTTATATAGTTATTGGTAAAACAATCTAAAATCGTAAATGTATAATTGGTAAATACCTTGAGTGGTTTGGCCAGAGGCCGGCAGTCTTTGTCAGTTGAGCAACTCCACGGAAACGAACCGTTTCAGCCTCTCCAGGTACTGGTTGAACAGTTCCACATCATTGTGACCAGCTCCCTGTAATAACACATGTAAAAATATGTTTTAAACAAACTCGCGCTTGTCCATTGCTACGTTCGAGTTGTTGTTAAAAGTTTTTTTTTGCAAAATAGACCAACAAAACAAGAGTTATCTGATTATGACTATAGCGTTACAAGCTTCATTGGTATAAATTCTTGCAATAGGGTATTCAATAATAGTTAATAATTACCTCGACCCATAAAGGTTCAACGGCGCGGGGACAGCGCTCGTATATCGCCAGTCCGTGTGAGAAATCAATCACCTCGTCTTCAGTACCGTGTATCACAAGAACCGGAGAGGTCACCTTTGGAATTTTGTCGATACTGGAATGTGAAAACGTCATTAATTAATGAAAATAATAATCTGCCGTTAAGTCTAGAACATAGGTAGTTAAACAATTAACTTATTCACATCTATATTTCTGCTTGTATGGCCAATTGGTTATAATCGTACTAATATTATAAATGCGAATGTTTAGATGGATGCCTGGATATTGGTTTGAAGGTATCTTCGGAACAGATCTTTTTAAAATTTTGCATTGATGTAGAAAATAGTCTGCAAGAGCACATAGACTAATATTTTTTTTTTATTCCGCGCGAACGGAGTTGCGGGCGCCAGCTAGTTAAGAATAATTGGCTCAAGCTTAAAAGAAATTCTAGGCATCCAGAATTCTTTTTTTAAATCCGTTTTTCCACACGACATTCATGTTACAAGGTTATATGTACTTATTTTTAAAGTACCCACACTATTTTATCATATTATATCTATTGTAAGGCTTCCGTAAGTTCACGTTCTACTTTTACTACGATATTTATGCGAATAGAATACAAGCATGTCTATTACATTTTTTTGTTTTGTCCAAAAAAATTATTTTCTCTTAAAATAACTGTTCATTTAACTATTTGCATTGCCTAGATTTTATAAGAGAAATTACATTTTTGTACTGCAACATGACTTATGTATTATTAAGGTTTTTTTCTATGTTATTGATTAAGTTCTAGGCATGTAATCCCTATTAAAAAGATAACTGTTGTTGATACACATTCCTTATCTTGCGTTAACCTGAATTCTATTATCAGGCATTATACTTTGTTTACATTATTTACCTATGTATATGTTACACTTGTTAATTTGTTATTATATTATATTTTTATATGACATTTAGCCTATCTTAGTGATACCTAACTTTTAAATTAGTATATTTTATCTTTTGATATTTGATTCAAAGTTCAAATATTGTGCAGTGTAGTATGTTTTTGTACAGAAGTTGAAAAAACTAATATTATAAATGTATGTATGGATGGATATTTGTTACAAGGTATCTCCAGAAAGGCTGAATGGATTGCGATAAAATTTGGCATACATATAGAACCTAGTCTGGAAGAACACATAGACTACTTATAATGTTTTTTTTTAAATCCGCGCGAAAAGTCGCGAGCGACAGCTTTTCAATACATGGAATGTTTTTCTTGATGTACTGTAAACAAAGATAATGAGGTACTAAATTAATAGTTGATATTATTTCTTCATAACCATTAATGGTATTCAGGAAATGTTTATATGAACTTGAGTCACCTTGTTTGAATCATCAAAGTATTTATGAAATAATTTAAAAGATAATATCAGAGCAAACAAAACAATATTTTACATTCTATTATCCAAGCACATAACAATGTATTTGTTTAAGTGACAGTTGTTTTCATTTATTGAAACATACTGTTATAAAAAGTGCAATGATAATAATTTTTATATATTTAATATTTCTATACTAGCTGTCCCCCGCTACTCCCTCCGCGCGAAATTTAAAATGACTTATTAATTAGCCTTTATGTGCTTTCAGACTATGTTCTACATCCTTCCCTCTTACAATTATTTTTTTTAAATCTAATTTGGATAAAAAGTAAATGCAATAAAATAGTGATATATGCAGCTAATATGATGTATATATTTTCAAAATTCCATGTCTCTGGAATATTATGTATAGATTATAGAGATAAAATATACCTACGCAGAGTTTTGAACAAATTACAACATTTGTGAAGTTGTTTTTTTTCCTTTAATCATATTTATTTGTAATGAGATGATGATAACTATATATATTTCGAATGTAAAAAAATATATTCAGAGATAAAAATGTAACTAAAAGCATTGGTAAATATAATTAAAATCAATCAATATTTTCCACTGTATACCATAATTTATCTTGGTCAATGACATTACACCTTTGTTATTGTAGAATAATAAAATTATATTAAGGTTTTATCAGTTAGTATAATATATACATTATTTATTGTTAAGTGATTTCAACACTAAGTATGCATATAAACATAACAAATACTTATAATATACTTTATGTTTTTATGATTAAAAGTATATGAATCTTTGTCTATAAGCTATACATATTAATAATTTTTTTGTCTGTCTGTTTGTCTGAAGTCTATGTTCATTCTGGGTAATCTCCAGAATGGCCAGGCCTATTTTGACAGGATTTCAATAAGAAGGTAGTTCCTGCATGCAGGCTTATTACAAGCTAATTTTTGTGCTGATAATATTGAGATGTTTAAAATACATATATATTATCAATATAGACATTCTTTTTAAAAAAAAACAGTTATAGTCAAAAGTTTTTGTATATGTGTTTTGGCAGTAGAAACTCATGCTTAGAGTGTATTGAGTAATACTGCAATATAAGTGATGATAAGTACAATACAAACAGGATGTCCAAATTATAGTAATTGGTGCATTATGTATGACAATCTCCATGTCAGATACAATTTATGTGATTAAAGTTTGTGTTGTCCCTGTTAAATATGAAATATCTATATATTTTTTATACTCTAAAAAACAACCAGCTGTAATTGTTGATTCAATTCTTTGTATTTATCATCAAATAAAATTGATACCACTTCCAAAGGGTCAAAGTAGCCATGATTTCAAAGAAGATACAACAATTAAGACCATTAAATGGAGATGATTAATATAAGAGACTAAAGTCCAACTATGGACATATATTAGAAACTAAATAAGAATCTAGGTAGGAACATTAACTGTAGATATTTTTTGTTCATAAATTAATTAATATTGGACTTTTCCTCTCACTTTGGAGAAGGGTACTTCTAAGTTTAATATAAAAATACTTGCTACTATACATAATAACTAGATTTTGTATACAATAAAAACTTGACAAGGTTTAACAATATATTTATGTATGGATCACCTAGAACAAATAAAACACTTACCTAGGAAAAGCATCAAAGAACCATGTCCTCTTAGTGTTTGGGAAAGCTACCCGCATGCCGGACATGAGCGGCGAGTGCAGCACCACGGCGCCCACCTCGTAGCGCGCGGCCAGGTCAACTGTAGGCACTGTGCCAATGCTCTGCCCGTACAGGATGATGTTCTCCGGGCTGATGCCATAACGTGTCCTTAGTGCTTGCCAAGCTGCATCAATATCCGCATACAAATTTTTCTCTGACGGCTTACCACCACTTACACCATATCCAGAATAGTCGTAGCTGAATATATTACAATTTATCCTAGTACCTAAGCCTAAATAAAAGCTACTCATCTGTCCGAGATCTACAGCATTTCCATGAGAAAACAATATTGTGAAACGGGCGTTTGGGCTGCATCGAACAAAGAGACAAGCGATTCGGTTGCCCCTTGTAGTTCTAGAATAGAATCCTTCGATGTTTTCCTTTTCACGCTCTGAATATTGCCATTCTGCTCGCTCGGTGAGAGTCAAAGAAAATTTTGATCCAGTTTCGTCAGGTGTAAATGCATACGTGGGTTCGGGAGGCAGGAATGCAAGCTTAGCCGCGATTTTCCCTGGGCATGGCGGACAACAAAACAGGCAACAGAGTTCACTGAAACTTAACCCGTTCATGATGAAAATTTATTAACAACGATAAAATGAAAGGTATTTAAGCACTATCCATTAGAAACCACAACTCACAAATTACAGGTCATGGCGAAAATAAAAGAAATTTCACTAAATTTGACATTTAGACAACATTGCAGACATTTTTTTATGTGTAATAGTTTTAATATGAAGCCTTGGAAAGAGTCCTTCGAGCCTTAATACGTTGCACAGAATCTAAAACAAAAATTGATTAACGTAAAAAATATGCACAGCGTAATAAGTTATTTTAATTAGTAAAATACACTTTTAATAGTTAGGTGTATTGTTTGTTATGTTTTTAATTGAGTTTATGAGTTAAGATATAAAAGTTATTAATTTTTTGTACTTGCAGCACTATTATTAGCCAATGGTTGTTTACATTTAGGAATGCATATAGATGATGCTTAAATATATAGACCAAAAACTGTGTTTAACATAATTTTGTTTGAAGCCGCACCAATAATAATATTTTAACAATAACTTTTTATCATAAAAATCTGTCATGAGGGCGCCTCAATCTCCCTTGATATTGCAACATTTTGCATCAACGTCAATTATCTGGTCAGTTCAGTTTCTTGATTGCTCTCCCTAAGCGGATTGGGCGAATAATGTCGTCACTTTATATTAAAAAATCCATTATTTTCGAATCTACTTTTATAAATTTAGAAAATATCGTAAAGGCTTTCATGCTGGTGGGCTTTGCTGGTGGGCGTAACGTAATTTGACAATTCGACGACAACCAACGACCAAGGTCAACGCCATGGTAACAAATTTTATTTTTGATGAAATTTTTGTTGTGTTGCCATTATAAGAAAAGAATTGGTCCGTAGTTTTTCCCGCTTTTTATAAATAAAAAAAAACAGAAGGTATGAAAGAACCTCCCGCAGGAGAATAAATGTGTCCTGTGCGCCAAACTTTTGAGCGTAAAACAAACGACGAGGAAATAAGAAAATTTCTTTTGTAAGGCCTTATGGTCGAATCGATTACTTAATAGGTAAAAACAATGTCGAACCTAAGGGAACCAGAAATGGATCTGAACAATGTTTGTGTTGGTTGATGTTTAAAATTCAAACACTTCATAAAAGCATTTTAGAAGTTTTTATTTAAACATAAACATTGTTATTGTGTTAACAAAAATGAGGCAAAAGTAGGTACAAAATGTAACAATGCATGAATAGATTTTTAATATTAAGCATAATATTTCAGACTGCCAGATCAATAACAAATTACGTAACATCAATTATTTTATAATTAATTTTGATAACTGATTACAAAATCTGTATCACAGTAACTTCAGTCCTGCCACGACATGTAATATGAAATCGACAATTAATTCTCATATGAATTACTATATTCTATTTACTATAATATTGAATAATTTATATCTCAAAGTGTATTTCACGCTACACCTAGATGGTTTGAAAATTGTTATAGAATTTTAAATTAATGCTTGACTAAATAATTTTGTTATAAGATTTTCGGGCGTGAATGATGAATGAAATTAATATTACATACATAGAAAAATAAAACCTAATACAATTTGTATAAAAAGGTGTGCATTTGTTCTTTAAATTTGTGCTCTTATAATAGAAGATACTAACAAGTTTCTGGAAGATTCCTAAGAATTACTAACACGTAACAGAATCACGCGCACACAGTTTAAAATATGTTCCTATCAGTCCTCATGTTAGTCTTACATGTATAGACACACAATTTAATATAAAATTTTACTCCAATCTTCTTGGAACACCCACCAATACCAATACTGAAACGATCAACAAAATACAACGCAGAGCAAAGCTAATTTACCGATATGCAATTAAATATTCTTTAAGCTATAGTGGAAAGATTGTATCTCACAATTTTTTAATCAAACTAAAAAATTAAGGAAGTAAAAAAATGGGCAAAAACAAAGACGACGAATATTTAAAAAAATTGTGTACTACAAAAAATTTGACCAAAAATCAATTCAAATAAATTTTATAATCCACAAAATTATTCACGAGTATTATATAAGTCGTAAAATCTCTCTGTAAGATTGCATAATTTACGTTATTTCAATATAAATTATTTACTTACTATTGCATTTACTTGTAATATTATTCTTTGTTGTTCAAATACGTATAAAATCTTTTATTTTAATTTATTAGATTTCCTAGCACTCTTTGTTATTGCATTGTCAATAATGTTAAAAATATTTAAAATAGCAATAACTTGGAAAATATATGTTATTGTCTACTTTAAATATATATGTAAAATCATAGCGCACAATCGTATCTTTCATTTGAAATCCAGAACTCCAGTGCTGAATCACATGTGCCTATCACCAGCACACCCTCAAGGTACCGCAACTGAAAAATAAATTTGTAAAAATTAGTAAATCTTTACTCAATATAAAACAGCAAACCAGAACCAATATAATATGAACCAAATTCTATGTTCTCTTTTCGATTAGTTTTCGTATGTCAATGGATACGGGACCTCATTACGATTTAAATTTATTAACATAAGTATTTTGCTATAACCTTTTTTTATTAAAAACTAAATATATTACTAATTACCTGTGTCACATCTATGGTACTTGTTTGTACACTGCTGTATTCCTGAGGTGGATGACAATTGTATAAAAATTTTATTTCCCCTCTGTCTGAGCAAACAATAATATTTCCTTGACTTTGATAGCAACCGGCTATTTTATTTGATGGCTCCATTACTGAGGATTCAGCCCAAATCTCATGTGTCCTTACAAATGTATGATCCTCTGGATTGAATAAATGTAATGACCCTTTTGAATCACCAATATACAAAGCTGGTGAATTCCAATTAATACAAACAGGGTATGCTCGATCCGCGGGTATTTTTATATCATTTTTTATCAATTTTCCAGCAACCCTATCCCAGATGGCTAATGTTTTATCTTCACTGACTGATGCAATCATATTTTTATATGAATTAAGTGCCAAAACTGGACCCCTGTGAGGTTTGTAAGCATTTATAGGATGAGATCCAGATCTTATATCAAAGGTAAGTATTTTCTTTGAGTATAGACCGACCATCACTATATTGTCAGCTGTCACCACAGATAATGCAGACATACCACATCTGTAACATTTTTAAATAACTAATTAACTCAAGAAGAATGCGAAGTAAATAGAATATAATCGATCTTTTACAAGCTAGGTACTTTCTATTTATATTTAATTATAATCTTAATAATCATCTTTTATAAATATGTTGTGTTACAAGACTGTTAAGAATCCATAAATCCGACTTGAAGGACCATTGTCAAATTTAGTACAATCTACAGAGATTCTTTAACATACATTCCATTTAATACACTTACCTAAAAGTTTCAATACAATTTAATCCACTGGCCAAGTCCCAGGCTTTGACTGTGTTATCCCAGGATGCAGAGTACACAACAGAGGCATTTTCAATATTGTCTGCAGCGAGATCCCACACCCAGCCGGCGTGTGCATCGTGCTTGATGTGTCGTGGTTTAGCATTTCTCATTATAATTGTGTCGTCATCAATGTCGTTTACTTTTAAATCTTTCACATGCCAAAAAGCCATACCACGATCTCTACCACCCGATAAACATATTTCTCCTTTCTGTAAAATAAAATGTTAATATACATGTACATATCTGTGAAGCACATTAAAAATTGTATGAAACTACAAAACAAAAGAATTGCATTCACTAATAAAATTGTTACAAACTGAAATAATAAGGTTAATTAGTAATTAAGTAGTTGTTAATTAATGTAAACCAAGAAGGGATCACCAATTGACTTAATATTTTTTTAAAAAAATGTACTTTTATATCTTAGAAATGTGGTATATAGTAAGTAATTATACGTAATAATGGCTAGAGATAATATTTTATGAAGCTTTGATCTAAGAGTTTTTAAAAATACTTACATTTGCCAACAATACAGTATCCACTGATGCATAATGAACATCTTTAACAACAATATGTTTCATTGTATCTTTAACATTACTCCATTTTTTTCTCTCAACATCCATCTCAACGCACACTTCTTCCCAATCTATTTGTGTTTCCTCCCATATCTTTAAATTGGGAAGGACGGGAAAGAATCCTTTTATTTTACTATGCACCCAATATTTCCATAGATGATCATCAGCTAAAATATCTTCAAATCTTCGACATACTTTACTCAATGTGTACTTTAAAACATCAGCTTCCAGGAATGAACAAATTTTTAAAATAATCTGAAAGTAAATAAGGACTTTATAATAACAATGTAACTGCAGTTATCAACACAAAATGAATAAGGTAATATTTAAAAAAAATATATCTTATGTTAATTTTATTGCTTATTTAACTAATCAGAAATAATATGTGATAGTAACAAACAACACATAATTTTAAAGTGGAAGTGTTTGATAACTTAAACAAAGACTTCTATAAGTGTCACAAAATGGTAATTTAGAGCAATAGCATCACTTTCAACTAAATATATTGAAAAGTTATACACTTATAGTAAGTTAATTATCATTAGTTTATGAGTATAAAAAACAATGAATCACCTCTACTGGCATATTTGATAAAGTTGGTTCAGCTGCCTCATATATTCCTTCATCATTGTTTATGTTAGATTTTATTGATGTAAGATATTTTGATGTTTGTGCCACTTCACACATGTTGTATCCACCACCTTATAAGAATACTTATTATATCAGTAACCTTTAGGTTTAATTATATGACATCATTAGAAATAATATACAATACTTCGACAAACGCTGTATGGACTTTTATGGAAACAGTATGAGAATCTTGTTCTTCAAGGGTAAATGAACTCGTTTGCGAATAATGTCTACATTATAGCGATTTTTAAAAAGAGACAGGAGTTTATTTAACTAACTCCTTAATTTAGCTATTAGCAGTTTAGACAAAGGTAATATTCCGCAATGAGTCTAATTTTACTGACTAAAATTGAAAAACTAAATAGTACATGTAGATTTACCCTAATCCAACCGAAGATAGACAAAATTAATCAGAACAATTAAGCAATAACATTTGAAATAGCAACGACACTAATTAAACGAAATCCAAGATAAGTTTTGAATATTTATTGTACACATAATTTGTCAACAGTAACGACGTCAAGTCAATGCAACAAACTGCAAATGACATTTGGTATTGTTGCTCCAATTTAAACAAAAGTTGCTGTCTATCAGTCAGTCATTTATTTCATATAGAAATGTTCGTACAGAAATACAGTACGTAGACTTATTAACATTAAAATAAAAAAATTATTTGTACTTACAATTGTTGTCTTTATATTTGTACAGTAAAATATTGTAGGGTTTGGCTTAAAATCTAGAAATCTACACTAAGTACGAAACGAAACGTAACTTTTTAGGTAAACTGGGAAAAACGATGTCACTGTCAAATGTCAGCTTCAGCTGGTTGTCAGGAGCTATCAGTGTTGTTGTTTTATTCTTACTTGGAGGTTATAAACATTTAAAAAACTTGTAAATATAAGAAAAACAGAGCGATAAAAACGAATGTAAGTCTACAAATATTTTATTATATAAGACGCTTATAGTAAAAAAATGGATAGTGTAAAGCCAGGGTGCTCCAAAGGTAACATGGATAAAATGGATGTCGAAAAAGAATTGACCAATAAATTTCTCAGTGGGGAAATGTCATTTGCTGAATATTCTAGCGAATGGTATGGTGGCGATGATGAAGAAGAAGTAGAAGATTCTAATAAAATATCAGACGATGAGTCTCGGCCCTCGTTGCCGCAAGTTGAAAAGATTGGCCAAAGGCGTCGTAAATTGACACGCTTATCTCCTGTTTTATTAGGTCTAATGGGAGAGGCAAACTTAAGATTCGTAAGGGGGGATAAGGATACGGCAGAAAAAATGTGCCATGAAATTATAAAGCAAATACCAACTGCCCCTGAACCTTATCAAACATTGGCACAAATCTATGAACATGATGCTGAAAAATCTTTACAATTTTCATTGTTAGCAGCACATTTAAGTCCCTCTGATGCAAATGAGTGGCTGAGACTTGCTGCCATATCAAAGGAAAGAAGTGATGTAAAACAAGAAATGATTTGTTACACACAGGCCATAAAAGCTGAACCTTTTAACTTCGACATTCATATGAAAAGATTGGATTTATTAACATCACTGGAAGAAATAAAATATCCTCTTAACACTCTAAATGTGACTAGAGTTAAATGTTATCATAAAATAGTAACTTGCCTGCCAGCAACAGAAGGTGAAATCATTATGAAATATGCAAAAATGGCTGCTACAATTTACCATAATAATAGAGAATTAGAACGAGCCACTGCTGTTCTAGATGCTGCTTATAAAAAATGTTCATTGCTTTTTTCTTTAGAAGATATAAATATATTCTTAGAATTGTTAATCACTCAGAAGCAATATCAAGCATGCATTGAGGTTTTTGTTTCTAACCTTGGTATTGTAATAGAAGCAGAGATTCAGACAGTGAAAAATTCAAGTGATGAAATTGAGGAACACACTAATTACATAAACTGTACAATTCCATGTAATTTGCCTATTGATTTAAAAAGTAAATTATTAATATGTTTTATTCATTTAGGTGCAATTAGTTTAGTTGAAACTCTTTTGACTGACTTCTTGACCAATGATGTAGAAAAAGCTGGCGATTTGTACATGGATATAGAGGAGGCATTTTCCTGTGTAGGCCATCATGAACTAGCTATGAAACTTTTGGAACCTCTAATAAAGAACACATCTTTTGATTTAGGAGCAGTCTGGTTAAAACATGCTGAATGTCTTTACAACTTAGGGAGGCTGGATGATGCTGTAGTGTCTTATTATAAAGTATTAAAACATGCTCCTCAACATCCCACTGCCCGTCGCAAGTTGTATGCAATTCTAGAACAAAAAGGTTCCATTGATGAGGCATTGGATATTTTGCAGCAAGACTATAATTATGTTGTTAGTGCCAAGTTACTTTTAGATCACTGTCAAGAACTGAAAAAGCATAATAAGATTTTAAAATACTTGGAGGTTGGTGAAGCTCTTTTGTCCAAAACATTTCCTAGATATAGACATCAGGAAGAATTAAGTATTGCTTGTAAAACTAAAGGAGGTATAGATTTAATACATGAATTTAGAAAGATGCGAGGTGAGAACCCTTATCATGAAGATGACTTACATTTTGATGAGGAAGAATCATTTAAACTTACACCTCAAGAGGAATGGAATTTCTTCAAAGAACTGTTAAGCATTGCTAATGATCATAAGCAATATTTTACAATGCAACGGTTATGTTTTGGAGCTTTGATGTCTAAAGCTTTAACATCTCATCGCACAGACATTGATTTCTACTGTCTACAAGCTTGTATTTTAAGTAATGACCATCATGCTGCCTTGAGATTTATAAGAGACTTTACCCACAAATATCCCGGTCCTTCTTCTTGGAATCTTTTAAATTTGGTCATTGGTTTTGTAGATGATACAGCACATATTAAATTTTTATCAAGACTATTTCAGAAAGATTCACATATAGTGAGACATTTATTTTTGGGTAATAACTTCTTGACATCCGGAAGATATTTAGTTGGATTAAAATATTTCTTAGAGTACCATGATCAGTGCAGAGAACCTTTGTCTGCATTTCTGATAAGTGTAACAATAATGATCATGGCAGCTCAAAGGACGGTGGACAAACATCATAACTTGATATTGCAAGGTCTATCTTATCTCTCAACTTATAAGCAGTTAAGAAAATGTGATCAAGAAGCTTACTACAATATGGGCAGAGTTTACCATATGTTAAGTTTAAATAATTTAGCCGTAGAATATTACGAAAAAGCATTATCATGTCCACCAATCGCAAAATGCGAACAACATGGCGTTATAGATTTAACTAGAGAAACAGCTTACAATCTTTATATTTTATACAAAGATCATTCACCAGAAATTGCTCGGAAATATATGTTCAAATATCTTGTGATATAAAATAAAACATGTTCAAATTCATAATTATTTGTTTGCCTAATATACATAAAACCTTTATTATAAGTAATGTAATACACTAGTTACTAAGTGGTCGTATACCAAATCATTTTCTGCATAAAAAAAAAACAAAAAAAAATAGGATTCGAAACAGAACTATACAATTGCAGTCAAGCGTTGACACATTTTTTTAAATTATATTTTTAAATTTTCATGATCACATTGAGTTTAAAATCTTTAATGCACATTCTTTACATTTTTTAAAATGAAGAAACCGGGCAGTTGTTCATTACCTAAATTTATGTAAGTCTACATAAACATTTATTTCACTAATAGTAATAAGTTATAGCAAAAAAAAGTGCTTTGTAGATGTAGCGTAATTTTTTTTTAAATTTACTAATCACGGTCAAGGTAAAGAAACATATTACATCTTTTGTTTTAGACTTGTTATACGACGTAAGCAATCAACATGTCATCAAGCGAAATTAAAGTACCAGCGGACGACGTATTATTTGAAGATGTGTGCACAATGCTAGACAGTATAGCTAAAGCTAAGAAGAAATACGAGAAAGTTACAATTTTGACAAATTATGTTGATGACTTTAGGTTGAAAGTGGCTCAAATCAATGGACCCAAGGTACTAGTGAAACAATGTTTCTTAATTTGTAACTTTCCCAAGTCGTTAATTACTTACTAAGTAAACAATTAATGTTTCTGAGTACTTATATTTATTACAGGATCCGAGCTTTTACCCTATATTAAGATTACTGCTGCCCGGGCTAGAAAGAGAGAGAAGTTCCTATAATTTAAGGGAGAAGAGACTTGGCAGTAAATTAGTACAGGCTCTAGCTTGGGATGAAAAGTCACCAGCTTCACAAAAGCTATTGAATTATAGAGCAAATAATAGAAATCAAAAGGATTTTACTACAGTTGTATGTGACGAATTAAAATATACGGTGTCGGAGAAATCAACATTAACAATAGGAAATATTAACGAAATTCTTGATAAGATCGCAAATGTAGAAAACGGAAAGCCTCGTGAGTACTTTGAATTGTTTATAGCTAAGACTGGTAGAAAATACTGGTAAAAATAAAAAAAAAACATTTCTAAAAGTATTTAATGATATAAATAAATGTGCTATTACTACCGTTTCTGTACTTGAATGTAACATCGCGAAACATTGATATTAAATATATAAATCGAATTTATTTCAGCTTCACTCGAACAAGTATTAACATCAGTGTTAAAGAAAATAAATGTAAAACAATTGAAATGGTTATTGCGGATAATTTTGAAAGACATGAAACTAAACATGGGCCAGTCTCGTATATTTGAAGCTTACGATTCAGAAGCCGAGTATATTTACGATAATTGCAATGATTTGAAAAAGGTTCGTTTGATTTTTTTTTCCAATCTTTCTAGTCGTGTATGAATCAGCCAGTTTTTTTGGTAATAAGAATTTTAATTCTGATAGGTAAGTTATGCAGACTTTTTAGACATATTGTCAATTTTATAGGTTTGTGAAAGTATTGAGAAAGGGAACACTCGGCCATCACAGATGGGTGTGGAAATATTTAATTCAATTAGTCCGATGCTTTTGAGCCCCCTGCCTATAACCAAAGTGCATGCTCTCTCTTCCACAAAAACTTATATCACAGAAGAGAAATACGACGGAGAAAGATTTCAGGTAAGTTTACTTCAAGTTGCGTCGTTACTTTCAAGGAGATATTTATTATCTAAAGTAGCTAATAAGTTCCGATAAGATTATTTTTCAAGAACACATTTCTAGATTCACATGGAAAATCATGTTTACAAGTATTTCACAAGAAGGGGCCATGAGAGACATAATTTTGGGACAAATTACGATTCAGGAATGTTGACACCATTATTAAAAAATTGTTTCGCGCCAAATGTGAAAAGTTTCATTCTAGACGGCGAGATGATGGGATGGAATGAAGATGAAGAGGAGTTTGGGTCAAAAGGTTACATTTTGAAATTAAAAAATCTGTGCAACCGAGACTTATTCGATATTTATCGATTGATCTAAGATTTAATTTTTAGGTATGAATTTTGACGTGAAAGCCTTGAAGGATCATTCGGAATTCAAACCAAGTTTCTGCGCTTTCGATTTACTCTATTATAATGGAGTACCTTTAGTTGGTCTACCGGAAAAGGGCGGTTTACCTTTAATTAAACGTCTCGAAATTCTCGATGAACTATTTGTAGATATTCCACAAGTTTTATTCCATAGTAAAAGAGAGACTGTCAGAGACAAGTAAGTATACTTATTTTCATTGTTTATTTATGGAAGGATTATCCATATTATACTAACCTAGATATTCAACTGTCGATACACTTAAACAAAAACATATAGTTATCTCTCTTTTTTCAATGAGAAAGAGAGGAATGAGTATATGTTTAAATGTTTCTGTCAAAATTCATGGTAAGACATTTTTTCAGTTCAGATATAGTTGCCGCTTTTAATAAATCAGTGGACGAGGAAAAAGAAGGTATAACAATCAAAGATACAGAGTCTTATTATCTCGCAAACCGACGTAACGGCGGCTGGTACAAGACTAAAGGCGAAGTAATATTTACGTTTTTAATTATCAGTTAAATTGATTTATTATTGTAATTCTTTTTTATATGTATCTTAAATTGGATTTGGTTACACATAAATTAATTTTGATTCAATCATATTTCTCAGTATACAAAAAGCACAATTCAAGATCTAGATTTGTTGATAATTGGCAAACGTTCAGGACGATATTATGTCGCTTGCCTCGATAATTCAGGTTAGTGTTTTTTTATCAGTTATGTATTACCATTCTTACAGCCGCGGCTGCCATAGAATTTTTAGTTGCTTTATAAAAAAAAAGCTGGTCTAAAAAAGGTGTTTTAAAAGGTGTGATATATTTGCTACTTTTTCTTATATTCTGTGGCAAACGATCAAGGGACCATCCCGATTCTCCGAAATAGCGAAGCTGCCCATAGACATCCGCAATTGCAGATGCGTTTTTCATGTTAGAATACGGTAGTACTAGTATTGTGTTTTTAGGCGTTAGTCCGCGGTGGTTGTGCATGGCGGGCGTGGGTCACTTGAGCGCGGCGGCGCGCTGGGCGCTCAACTCCCGCCTGCAGCCGCACTGGCGTCGCCGCGCCGTTCACCCGACGCCCGATTACCTGCAATTCAACAAACAGCACGTCGAATATTGGATACCACCTGAAAAATCTGTCGTCATACAGGTGATTGACCTTTAGCTAATGTCATAGAGTAAAAATAAACACAAGAAGTTGACATAGGATTGAAAATACATTGTACATCTTACTAATATTATAAATGCGAATGTTTGCATGGATGGATGGAAGTTTGAAGGTATGTCCAGAGTGGCAGCATGAATCTCTAATTTTTTTTAAATGTAGAATATAATCTGGAAGAACACATAGGTTTTTTTTTCATTTCGCGCGGAATAAGTCACCGGCGACAGCTAATTATGGACATACAAGTTAAAACTACCTACCTTAACTTAAGTAAAAAATAACCGTATAATATACATTTAATGTGAAAAATTCACACGTACAAAGACACTAAATACGAGAATAATATTTCGTACTACAGATGCGCGCTTCGGAGTTAGTGAAAAGTGATAAATACGGAACGCCGTATACGCTGCGCTTTCAACGCGTCGTCAAAGTCCGCTACGACAAACCTGTGCAGGACATTCTGACGTTCAGAGAGTTCGAAGAAATAGTCGCGGTATGTATAACAATTTCCACCACCGACCGATTTAGTAATATATAGGAAAGCCATGCTAATTTCACACGAGGGTAGAACAATGAGATAGTGTGATATTGCTATTATTTCAAAGCACAACGCAAGATATGAAAGTATTGTTTTGAAAGGATATTGTGTGTCCACACTGCCTACTGCCTTTGTGTGAAATGTAGAAGTGAAGTAAGATATATTTCATCCTTATTGTATCATCACAGATCATTACAGAAACGAATTATTAAAAAGCTATACTTATTCAGTAAAACAGTGTAATAAATAATTCAACTTTATCAACAGTCTGATTCTAAAGTCGTGAAACTGAATAAAACTATCAGCTCAGATAGTATAGACAGTGTGGCCAACATTCCTCACAAGAGGCGGGTAAAGAAGCCTCTGCAGGTCGCGGAGCAGTTCAGGATGCAGAACACAGGCGAAGTGGTTGTTAAATCTAAAGCACTTCTCGGTAGAAATATTTGTATACTCTCCGATGACGAAGATTGCAGTAAACTAGAACTTATAAAAATATTGGAGGCGCACGGCGGGAAGCATACAGAACATTATGGTGAGTTAGTTAAAACAATTATCTTTGGTTAATTATTTAATAGGTAGGTTTCTCTAGTACTTTATTTACACGAATGTTGTGTTTGCCTCTAATTTAAATACTACGTAACATTGTAACATATTTTGTTGGCAATCCTAAACATATAAAATAAAAAAATAAATGTTTATTTCGCATTTAGTAATCGTAAAAAAAACACCCATGCAAAATTATCTTGGTTATGTTTTGTTTGTTTGTTCGTAGTGTTAATTATTCTTCAAAATTTAAGTTTATTATAGTGTTTTTACAAAGTTAAACGTTTCTAGAAATCTATTTTTTTTAGGTGTGGATACATGGTGTTGTGTTGCTGGCAGATTAACATATTACGTCAAAAATCTTATAGAATTAAAAACTAACGACGGATCAAAAATAGATATAGTCAGTTCTGCTTGGCTGAGGAATTTACCTGACTCAGATGAACTTTGTTCTTTGTCGCCCTTTGATATGTTGTCCGTAAAGAGGGAGACAAGACTTAAAATGAGTTTACATTATGATAAATTCGGTGACAGTTACATCCAGTTTTTAAATGTTGACATATTGAGAAAATGCTTTGAGAAAATGGAAAGTGAGGTAAGTGTGCTTCAAATGACATTTATGAGTTTCATGAAACATAACTATCGATATAATTTTATCGATTTCCTCTACTTTTAGACTTTATTAGTTAGAATCTTGTGGCGCGAATGGCGCGCTTTCATTACAAAGTCAAGTGTCAGAATGATTAGTGAGGGGACATAAACGTAAATATTTCAGTAAGGCTAGTGTTGTGCTAGTACACCGGCACAGTGTCGGATTTTCTTTCTAACACTACTTATTGTGCAAACTGATATACCTTATCCAAGATATATTTAATTTAATGTTTAGATTTTAAAATTATATTACTTTATATATTTTCAGAAACCTCTTATATATTTAACAACGCAAGAAAAATTTAAAGTTGACAAAGCTCTGTTTTCTGATAACAATCCATATTCATATTTGCGTTGCTGTTTCTTAGCTCTTCCCAATAGCGATAGTATTTACGCTATACGAGCTAAAATGTATGGCGCTAATTTATGTGATTTAAACAGTGAAAACGTTACACACATCGTTTTATCCAAAATGGCGTCAAACGAAGACAAAATGGCGGCAAAAAAGTGCGAAGCTTTTGTAGTAAGCGAAGAATGGTTAGATTCGTGCCTTAGAGAAGGAAGACATGTGTCGGAAAAATCGTTTTTAATACATTAAAAACAAGTTATAAAAATCTAATTTTCGTTTTATTTGCTATAACTAAAAAACTCCTCAATGCTAAATATTCTGCAGTAAAAAAAATGTGTTCGAAGACAAAATTATGCCCTGTTCTCTATTACATCCCGTTTCTTGCTACTATTCGCTCTTTATAAAATTTGTAATAAATACAACACTGAATTAATATAGAGCCGGTTCGTTTGAGAACAGAACTAATTGGTATAATCAAATGCACTCGTCCGCGAAATTAATCAAAAGCCCGTGTAACTCAAATAAACGACAACAGATAGTTCGTTTGTTATTTGCCGACGTGCTGCGCTCCGGTTACAGCTTTGCACTGCATTAAGCCGCAATAATCAGCCGCGAACAGTGCAACATTGTTGAGATAATATGCATAAAAGATAGACATTATTAACAAAGATGCATACAAGAAATACTTACGACGCTACTAAAGGATAATTAGAAAAAAACAATTATTGAGCTATATCTGAATAACCGAATTGAATATTTATATACAAGCGGTCGTCCGCGTGGAATTAAAAAAAAAACACTTGTTAGGTTATGTGCTCTTCCAAACTATGTTCTACGTCTATGCCAATTTCATCAAGATCAGTTAAGCATTTCCAGAGAGACATCCAGCCATCCATCAATGTAAACTTTTGTGTTTATAATATTAAAAGGATGTAATAGTAATAAAACGTCGAAAATTATCTCTTAAATGTGATTTATAAATGAAATAAATTGTCTTATCAAGAGTCGGGAGGGTAATCCGAGTAGACAGTGGTCAGTGTCGATGGTAACAAGAGACATAATTGGCAATCGTCACCCCAGGTAGAGTATTGTTTTCAGTCTAACACCACCACTGTAACTATTTCATCAATATCATCTTATATTGACTGTCTTATTAAAAATTTTACATTTTATTCAATTTCAAAGATTTTGCCAATAAGATCCGAAATTAATCACCAAAATAGAATGAAATGAGCATGTATTAGTTCTTAGATCAAATGTAGTAGGTAATAAGTGCTTAGAGGAATTAAAAAAACACGTAATTCGTAGCCTATGTGTTCTTCCAGACTATGTTCTACATGTATGCCAAATTTCATCGAGATCCGTTCAGCCGTTCTGGAGATACCTTCAAATAAACATCTATTCATCAATCGGTCCATCTAAACATTCGCATTTATAATATTAGTAAGATTAATACAACTTGTATATAATTCTCTACCAAGTTAAATTTTAAATGACTATACTATGACAATACCATTTCAGAACAAATAATGCTAAATGTAGGCGTCGCTATCCGCACGCCTCCAGCGTCGTACGCCAATAGCGAGCTTTTAATATCAAGGGGCGTTCGTCGACGCGTCTGAAACTTGAAACAAACTTTACAGTCGTCAATACGCGGACAATTATATCGGAGAGAACATGTCCCTTTGTTTGCTACGAAATCTAACGAAATGAGATAAATTGTCATGAAAAAATGCAAAACGAAAGTAAAAGTGTTTCTGAAAGTGGTAGGAAGGCGTTGAGGACGCCGAAGTGTGCGAGGTGCAGGAACCATGGCGTGATCTCCTGCTTGAAGGGACACAAGCGGTTTTGCCGCTGGCGCGACTGCCGCTGCCCCGGATGCCTGCTGGTGCTTGAGCGGCAAAGGGTCATGGCTGCACAGGTAGATTACGGTTTAAGTTAAGTTAGATTAAGTTAATGGGTTCTGTCTATTAAGTAGCAAATGTTATTGTATGTGTGCGTCAAATGCAAGGATTTAGAAAACTAGATGTAAGATAGCTAAAAAAACACATAGATATAGCTTTAAATGTTGGAAAAAAAATAAAAAAATAGAAACCGTGCTCTTAATTCTAATATGTGTTTTTACTTATTACCAAAATTCTTTAAGTTTCAATACAATGTTATTAAAATATTAAAAGACCTATTTTATTTTGCGTTACCAGGATTATACTTGACCAAAACCGTTAGCGTAGCGCAATTAATAAAAAACTATCAGGAACGCCAGGCGAATAAATGAATAAATATTGTTAATATAATATTGACAATATATATATATATATATATATATATATATATATATATATATCATGGTGACATCAGGTGGCGCTGCGCCGGCAGCAGGGCGCGGGCACACCGCGGGGCAGCGAAGCTGCCGCTCTAGCTGCCCGCAAAAAGGCGTACCGAGCGCGGTTGCGCTGCATGCAGATGTCCAGAACTTATCCACCACCACCACAGTCCTATGGTAAGCGGAGAGCAGAGATATAAAATTATACGCCGAGTCTTGGTCACTTTGAGAATCATTGATATAAAGGATGACCATCTAACGACACCAGAGGAGATGCAGTTGTGCGGATTAAGGTTTCTTCAATACCACTCAATTGCTGCTTACTGAAATCTTTTCTTAAGTTGCGAGTGAAGACAAAAGTAATATTTGAAAATATTTGTGTAGAGAGCAGTAGGTAGAGAGATTATTCTAAACGACAGTTGCGTGAGGTAATGACAAATATTTTTTTGTGTAATCATTTTATCATTCTGATAATCTTTTATGTAAGGTACAGCTTAGACCCGTATCTTCAATCCTGTTCTGCTCCACCGTAATGTTTTTTTCTGACGTATAATGATTTTACAGTTAAAATAGTTCTCTATAAATAAAAATAAATATTCTAATCCTTTATAATTCTGTAATCATAGAAGATTTGAACATACGTCTACTTATATAAAAATGAAATCGATCTGTAGCCAAATTAAATTATATAAAATATTTGTAAACACTAAACAATAGAACAAACTATAGAAAAAATTAAAACGGGTGATAAAAATAACAGCTGTTTAAGACGCGTCCTACAGTTGCCAATAAAAACAAACATTCGCGTGTATTCTGTGAAATATACTTGAGATCACGTTCTTGGTTTCTGGGGTTTCACAAAAAAATAAATGCGTCCATTTCAGTGGCAGTTGTTCGCACACTGTCTTATTAACATTTTGTTTACGTTACTGACCTAACTCCGCCGCCGGATGGTCGCTATTGATTTCAAATTATCCATACGCCTTGTCTTCTCAGCTAATTAGAACTTTTTAAAGTCTCAATTTTGAACCAAATAATAATTTATGAAGGTATCATTTCAAATTTAATGAACAACTGTAACAAAGTAAAAGCTCTTAGAAAAAATAGGAAAAGTAAAAGGTTAAAGATTTTCCAGGTTTAGTTTTTCTCTTTTTCTTATGTCTAGAAAATATATAATAATTGGATGATAAATTAAGTTTTGCGAGCAACAAATTTTAAGTAACACCAACTTACTTTTTGTCCAACAATAACTATTTTTTCGTCTAATTAAATATGAATATATTTCAATTTAAATACGATATTAATATATTAAAAAGTTTAAAGTTAAATTTAAAACTGGCTCCAATGTCCAATAAGAAGTGCGCACCCGATAATGTCCGCACCGCCGCGCAGCACTCCAACATTTGTTATTGTTGTAAGCGAGTAGATTCTGTCGTGTGTTTCCTTTCTCTCGCTGAAACGCTAAATACAAATTAGCTGAATAAATATTTACATTGGAACAAATATTGGAACTGGTTAAATAGAATATCTTGTGAAGCTTTTAACTTACAACATTTCTATTATTAAAGATTTATTTTAAAATACTTTATTGAAATTGTTCACTTTATTTTTTCGTTTCAATTATGTTAACACTAAATTAACCTATTTCGTTTGAAATACCTCTTTGAATTTAAAAGCGAGGGAATTTATATAATAAAAATTAGACATATAACACGATCCCAAAGCGTATTCAATTTAAACGATATGGATATCCTTGTATTATTGTGCTATGTGAAAAGAGATACTCTTCAAACAATTAAAAATAGAGCACCACAGACGCAATAAAGTTTGAGCGACGCGTCTAATGTGTCCCCCACTTCATTATAGAACAAAAGCTGTCATCTAAGACTCGGCAACATTTCACTGTCTATTAAAAAAACTGAATATCTTTCAACTATTTTTATGGGCTGTAAAAAATGTGAAGATTGTTTTACAAGAAAACGCAGAGGCGGCTCTTTGTCGAAGTGTCGGGTTACAGTGCCGTATTGACTGTAAACATGTCTTTCCGCTCCGTCGCATGATAGATGAGCCGGAGCCAAAAATTAACGCAACTAATATCTTTCAAAATGTTAACAATTTTCTTTAGTAAAGCCATTAATTTATGATTATAATTACATATAATTTATTTTATAATATGTTAAGCGAATTATCAATTAAATTCAAGTGATCAATTTTATTTTGATAAAATAAACTTTGTCTCTTGTAGTAGGTACGTTGCTAGTAGAACCGTGGGTTTCTGAAACCAAAATACCCATTTGGAACACATTGTTATGCCTGTTTTGATAAACATAATAACAGGGATGACGATGTTTTATACAGAAATTTTGGTCTCAGAATACAACCGTTAGACGATCGCTACTTGAATTGGTAAATGTATGGACAAATACAAACGTATATTCGTAGTTTCTGCTTACTCCCACGGCATAGTGTAGATTTAATTTCCTTTTTATTAAACTAATTTAAAAAAAAAAGGAGATTGTTGATTCGCTTAATTTTTTTTACTAGCCAACATGAGATTGCTGAGTGACCCGGCGTGGAGCGAACGTGTGCGCCGGCGCAAGGTGTTCGCGGATGAAGAGCTGACGGAGGTGCTGCTGCCCGCCCCTGCGCGCCCCGCGTTGCCCCCTGCCCCCGCCGCGTTGTGTTCGCACCTGCTGGCTGCCATACTCAGCAATTACGGCCTGCCCCCGCCAGCTCCGCATTCACCGCCCCGCACACGACCCAAGATATCATTCTCTATTGAATCCATTATTGGCGTAAAGTAAATACATATTTATTTTTTAAGTTAACATTTCAATAGACGTAATTTATCAGATCAAGATTATTCAGTCTGGTAATCATATTTATGTTATTATAAAGATGATATCTTGATTCTAAAAATCAAGTTCTAGTTCGGTCTACAGTAAAAAATTTATTGTAATTATGTCACAATTAAATTTTATTTAATGAGGAAAAAATGTATTAATATTTAACTTTACCCATTACATGTTTCAAAAAAACGTATTTAAACTGAAATAATTAATCACATATTTTTAAATGTTACGAAGTAGATATACTTGTAATACTCATTTAGTCTTTAATATGTGCATAAGTTTGTCTTATCGTTGGTTTCTGATGCTAAAATCACTGTAAAAATTATATTAAAAAAATATAATATTGTCTTTGACAAGACAAAGATAACAATATTTATAAAAGTATTCTGGCCTCAGAAACTGACGATTAGTGCTATATAATTAGATTATAAGGACATGAGCTGATTCAATTGTAAGGTTTAAACAGTTCGTATTAGTATTTATGTAAATAAAAAACAAAAATGTCGAACAATGAGTGCTTTATTAACGAAATGTATGGTAAAAGAATGTTTGTGGTGAGGTTATTTGTATTACAACCAAAACTTACATGTATAGGTACTTAACAAAATAGTCATCATTAGAATAAAGATCACTTTGACAGTGACACGGTTTATGTACATTTTAGACAAACAGCAAGTACAGAATGTGATACACTTGTTGAAAATTATCCATTTTAAACCCACTACCAAAAAGAGTAGGTTAACAATTCGTCTCGTATGTTTTTAATCTGTGAAAATCGCCTGACCGACTACATTGTATTTCTTCCTGTACTCACTTCACATTGGTTATTCAAAAAAAAAACGCTTAAACTACATACAACACATTTTAAAAAGCAATACAATTTGCTGATAATTTAAAATCGACTACAATCTATTAAAAGATTATATATGAAAAGATTTTTTTTTGACTGAAACGACATTTAAATACGTTTAACAATAAATACAAATAATAGATATACGCGTCATATAGAAAATTTAAGTGAAATAAATAAAAAATACAGGTACAAAACGTAAAAATAAATTTCATTATGAGAATTGATGGTATAATATATTCTATGAAAAAAGTTTTCTTTTTTTATATCACGGATATAGGTGCCAGTATACAATTTCATAATTTTGATAAAATATGATAAATAAAACTTTTAAATGTGAGCTACAACCTAACAAAACTGCCAGTGATAATAAAAAAAAATAAACATATTTTACATAAATATATGTACTGTATAAGTTATATTAAATCGCGTTAATTTCATTGTTTTTAAAATATATAAATTACATACAATAGATGATATAAATTGTAATATAGGTTTAGCATGACATACGTCAATAAGGAATTACAAAATATTAAATCATCACGATACGACAATCATATTTTTATATAATAATAATGCCTCGAGGAAAGGAATCGTGCCTTACGAAAGCCACCTCGCACAATCACACATCCATGCAATCACTTAATCAGCTACTATCACGGTTTTTTAGGAAAAAAAATAAACAAAATACTACATTAAAAGGAGACGAGAACTCTACTAACCTTAAAAATAAATTACAACACCCGTACATTGTGTATTTTACTTAAAAAATAAATATTTCGCGAATGTATCCGAGGCAGAGCGACGTCCATTTTTTTTTTAAATTTAAACTATAATCCGAAATATTAACTAATAATTTCATCGTTCAACTATTTGCCTACACATAATATCCTCGGAAGTAAATACAATAATGTGGGCGCGATTCGCTGGGTGTGATACATCCGCACTCTCTCCGGGCTTCGTTGGCACACTACGGGAACGGGACTAGATAGGACTCGGGATAGGAACCGACTGGGATTCGAGGGACCGAGGATAAAAAAATTTAAACATACATATACTACACAAACATATCGAATAAGAAATTATATTCCCAAGTGAACTGGCGGGAGAGCAGCCGAAAATTTTTATTTTTAAATCCCAAGGAATGTTGAAATTTACAGTATCCCGATAAACTGTAAAATAATTCACTGCACAACCTAACCCTAACATTGCATATGCAAAATACACTATATTTCTTTTGAACTACTTTTTTTATTCTCGCTTTATCGAGATCCTATCCTTAAGGTCGAGAAAAGCAAAGAAACTTAACAACTTTTGTAACGTAATGCCGCGCTTTCAATGGATTTTCAGTATGAATCTCGAAGGATTTTGACTACTACAAAGACATAGTAAAATGGTTTGCAAACAGCGGTCCACTTACTACGACCTATGCCATACTAAGATCAATTTAAACTAAATAATTTACATAGACTTAAGCTATTAAAGTAAACAAAAAAAATCACAATTAATAAAAAACTTAAGTACAATTTTCAAAGCATCGACCTTAAAGTTTGGACAATACTTATTAATATGCAATTGCACAATAATCACAAGGAATCAACTTTTCAAAATAAAAATACAAAACAAGGAGTATTTAATTGACTAAATAATCGTCTATTAAAATGATTGGACCTTAAGGATAAGAGCTGCTTTATTATTTTAAACGCAATGACAAACAACAAATGGTTAAAGTCAGACTTTCTAGCTTTTATAAAACAAAAAGTAACAATTTTACATGCATATATAATTATACAACTCAATACGTATTTACATATACATAATATTAATTTTAATATACACGTAGATATCTTTATATCAATCATATGTTGCCCAAACTTGAAAAATATTTTGTAATATTGACAACGGACAGTACTAACAGTTTGTAGTGTCTTATGGTATATTTTAGTATTAATATGATTTGTTTTTAGTTAGTGTTATTTAGCAACCGTTTTAAAAAAAGTCAAATATATATTTTTTTCTTTAATTATATATATAAATACAAAAAGAGTTAATGTCCGAAGTCAATAAATTGAATCATTTTCGAGGTGGGCAACACAAACATACAAAACAATTAAAACAAAATACAACGTAAAAATACTATTTGGTATATAATAATAGCAGAAATCTAGCTCACATAAATTCTATCAAAGCAACACATATGTCTACGCCGACAATGATACATAATATATAATACATAATCGTACCGCATATAATTCAAAATAAACCAGTCACAAATCACAGACGACAAAAATTCTCGATTTCACTAAGTCTTGTTATTTTTTTATTTTTAAAAATATTTTATATATAGACATGAATTTTTTAATTATTAAAAAATATTTGAAAAATCTAGTGGAGAGACAAAATAAATGCTTTAGATAAAAATATATTTCATTTTTATACTTGTTTTTAAACACCATATATTCCAAAAAGTATGAATTTAAAGTAAAATAGAGCGTGTTACATTATAGACACGAGTATGATAGTTTCCAACAAACACAAGCGCACAAGAGACGTCTTCAGCGGTGAATGTTTTCGTCAGTCGAAAAAAGGCAAACGCAACAAGCCGATTCAGCCGAAGCCGACTCGAAAGATGCCTTAATGAACAAATATGTCACCAAAAAGTCGATATACACAAAGAATTTATTTTTTACATCTATCGACTTCTCTAAAAATCTATCGAAAAGTTACATCAATAAATTTCTCAATTTAATTCCTACAATATCTAGACCGTTTTAAATTCGGAGCCCTATTAAAATCGGTAAAAGAATCAAAGTGATAAAATCAATTCGAAAAATAATGAAACGGCCTAGTTATAAACATCGATTACACACTACTTGACTAATCACTAAATCATGCAATATGAAGACGGGCCGCGCAGACGAGCCCTACTATAGCCACGCTGTGTGCGTATATCCGAATTCGTAATGACGTCACTTTATATTTGACAATAGCTTGAGTGGAGTCGCCGCAAATTACATATTTTTTCAGGTACACATATAGAAAAAATGCCAAGTATTGTATTGTAATTAGAGGGCACCGAATGGTCTATTGTAGTTTGTGGCGGGCAACGCCCGTAGCGTAAATTTGTTGGCACAGTACGGAGCGGGCGGCGACAGCCACGACCTCCCGACCCGAGATCCCATTGGTTCCCCTGCGAAAGAAAAATAAACTATGCATAGGGCATAAGATGAAGAGAGACATGGCCTACACTGCGTCTTATAAACTATTCATCGTAATAATCTGAAATATTTATCTCTTAAAATTGTGTTTTTTTGTGAATGGTAGCTCAATCAAATTTCTCATCTCCAAAACACATTTTCCTTATATGTATTCTAATCATACAAGTGTCAATTAATTATGAATCCACGTAAAAACGGTTACATACTAGTGTTAAATATAGGTTACTCACCATCACATATAGGTTGACGTTTATATATCGCACATGGCGGAGAGGCGCGAGCTGAGCTGTACGGGCAGCTGGTCGGTGAAGCGGCGCCAGTTCTCTTCGCCCACCTGGTTCTTGAAGCCGTGCAGTATCTTGGTGAACATCTCCTTCAGATCATCCTTGGGATGCGACCAGGATGCGATCGCGTCGCAGAAGTATAGGAAATCGGTGACAACACCGCCCGGGTTGATCTGTATCATCTGACAGATGCCGCGGAAGGCGGAGTCCTTCTCGTCGTTGTCGCGGATGTTCCGCAACGAGGTGCACCTGTTGGCACGTCAGGGGTCGCTCGATGAGACGAGCATCGCGTGGCTCTAATGCCAACGCAACGCAACTCTATTGCTACACTGCCATTTTATTATTTCCCTACCATTTTTCTAATTAATGCGTATTTTCAGCATCAATCTGATATAGGCAGTGGAACAATCGATGTTACCTACCTATTATTTTCAGAGTGACTTTATTTGTCAAAATAGTTATTCAATCTCTTATCATATATAATTGCAAAGAAAGTAATATAAGTACATTCATTTTACTTTTGATTTAATGTGTATTTGTCATAAATAATACTACCATATATTCTATAGCAGTATTTTATACGTAATTTACGTCTTTGCCGCTTTATTACACCTTAGGCGAAAATACAAGTTTTGAATTTTTTTTATGTATTTAATTGATGGGGCATAAGCAAAGAGCGAAATAAACTGGTAAACTAGAAGCTTCTATGTTTTCATCATTCTAAT